CATGGTGCAATCTCTGTTTACATACCAACACGGGACTACCGCTTGCGTTTGCCTTTGCGCGCGAGCACGGGGATGGGGTGGGAGTGATTTATTATTTTTTTTTTATTTTTTAATTTATCATTTATTTTGCTTTTTTTATTTTTACACTGTCCCTTTCCTTTTTTTTTTTTTTTCCAATTTTGTTATCACATGTATGAATGTAAATTTCCCCTTTCGATTACACCAAGATTGTTGTGATCAGATGTTTTCTCAATTATAAAATGGTGCTTGTGACAGAACGACTGAACGGTTGGGTGATTCTGTCAGAGAACTGCTTCCTCCATACTGAGACACAGGACGGAAGTATTCTAGCCTAGCCATTTTTTCGAATCCACGGATGTGCAAAAAACAGAAACCCGTAAGTGAACAAAAAAACTTGCAAGTGCAAAACACAAACACAAAAAAGTGCTCACAAGGCTCCTGACAGGGACAAAGGTTTCAACATGGTCCACCTAGCCAAAAAGCCTGGCGGAACCCTTTCCTTGTGGCTAGCCAAAGCCGACCACCAAGTACTAGGTCAGGGAGCTCTCCCGAAGAGAGACCCCCCCCCCAAGAAAAGGGGAGGAGTGAACTTAATGGCCATGCATCCTCCCCCTAGACTTCAGGGCAGGCCCGAGGACCCACACCCTCCATCTTAGTGAGAAAAAAACACACACAGAAGTCAAAAGTGACAAGTGATGCGACCACTCTCAGGGAGGGGGCACTGCTCCACAGTCTCTCTGCCTCTCCTGCCCTTGGCCAGACACGGTAGAGCCATTCGAATCAGGAGGGACTGGGCCCCTCCAGTTTTTCCGGGGGAATTACTCCCGGCCCCAACAGCCTGTGGGCACCTTGGTCGGTTTCTCTTCCAGCCTTTACTAACCTTCAGAGCCCTATCATACCAGCAGGGGTACTATACAGTCAGCCATTGTCGCCTAAAAACAAGAATGATGGCGGAGCACCCCTACTGGACACTGATAAGAACAGATACTACACTTAATCTTAGCCAAAAGGCCAAGAAGCCATTTTTTTTTTTGTTGTTGAAAAATATACTTTGTTTTACATAAGTATAAAAAAAAAAAAGATACTCAATCGGGGTATTTTCCACCCTGTACTACGACACAGCGCATAAAAACACCACATAACAATACAGTTAGAATCATACAATAACTGCATTCACTCAGCGGTATGATGTCTAATTTGGTGTGCAGAGCAAAACGTTCCCCGAACCATCACATCATGCATGACGCCCCTTAGCCTGAGACGGTTTGTGGTCCCCTAAGGTTCTACCAGAGTAACCTGGCAGTACGATGTCAGATGTGCAGGGCCTGAGTTAAACCACTGTTCCACACATCCTACATGGCACTGTAACACAAGCCGTAGCATGAAAAACATTACCGACTGTACAAAAACAAGTCAAATAAGCATCGGGTGTGATGGGGGGTAGGAAGGAGGGCAGAGGAGGAAAAACAGAATTCACAGGCCTGAAGCTTTATTGATAGGACAAAGACTCGCAAAGGAGAGTAGGGGGAAGGGGAGATCTTCAGATGTCCTCTTCCTCTGTAAAGTGCATCAAGTTATAGTCTCTGAGCAGACTGGACCAATCTGCGACAGTCCTCAATGGACGTCCTCTCCCGCTGATGGATGAGGCACATCCTGGCGCACCACAAAGCGTCCTTGAAACAACACAGCACCCGACAGGCGCCGTCAATGTCCTCTAGGGTAAAAGTCCCACAGAAAAGTCAGTTCTACACACCGAAGTGTGTGATGGCTGCCTGTTGCACAAAGTCCTTGAGTTCTGGTTCCAAGATCCTCAACAGGTCCTGAGCAAAACAGCACTCCCAGAAAACGTGCTGAGCAGTTTCCTCCTGGATGATGCAAAAAGTGTCGTGCCTGTATCTGCTCAGGTTCCTGGCATGCATAAATGCCCTGAGTGGCAACCCCCCTTCGATCGCCATCTATGCCAGATCCTTGTGCCTGTTGGTGAGTCTCTTTGAAAAAAACATTCCTCCAGACCACCTTGCAAGTGGCTGAAGACAGGCCTGGAACCGACTCCAAAATGTCCTTCGCTCTGATCAGCTTGTAGATAGTCTTTGGTTTCCACAAGTCGGGCTTGACCCCATGTAGCCTTTGCTCCTTGATAAACTTAAAAAGTGTCCACATAATAGCAAGGAGTGTCCCAGTTGTAGGGGATGGAACTGTTTCATTTAAAACAGTGGAGGGGCTAAACGCTTGTGTTGACAACAAACGGGGCTGATCCTGCTAACGCTGTGATTTTGGGAACACTATACTAAGGAGGAACTAGGATAGTTCTATTCATGATCAATATGTTGATCTGTACAAAAACTATACTAGTAGTGGGGTGATCAGCGACCTATAGCGTGAGTGCGATGTAATGGCAATCTAATGCTAACTGACCCTGGCTGTGAGAGAAGCTTACAGACACTCATGCTATCTGATGTTGCTAGTTGCAGTAATACAGTGAACAGTAAAAAATTCTATATACTGACACTCTACTAATGGCACTGGCTGGGTGACAGGTGATCAAAGAGTTAAATGTGCTATCTAACGTGTGTAAAATGTAGTGCTTTTTACTCAGTGCCATGTTCTCTCTTCTCTCCCTGGACCCGGTATAGGGGGCAGCGGGGGGCAGCTTACGCACACCTGGAAATAGAAAGTTACGTAACAGTTACTTTACCTAGAGCCACCGCTCGCCTGCTCATTCTAGGTCGCCAAGTAGTAAAAATAAATAACATTTATTTCAATTTTTTTATTTTTAGAAACATTATTTTTCTTTGTTTTACTATTTTTTAAATGCTTTAATCAAGAGTAGTACAATGTTACCATAGCAACATTGTACTACTCTGGGGGTATCAGGGATTTTAAATTTTTTTACACTTTCCATTGCAATAAAGATTATTGTACTTGCAATGCAATGTTTGCTTTGAACTGTCATGAATGGGTTAAGTTCATGACATATTTAAACACAGTGATCTGTGATTGGCTACAGCTGGTCACATGGTACAGGGTGCTTTGATTGCCCCCCCCCCCCATGTATCATGTGAGAGCTGTGGGCCAATCACAGCTCACCAGGAAGAGAAGCAGAGCTGTTACGAATCAGATTGATTCATAACAGCTTTGTTGTCATCGTGATCATGTGACCGCATAGCAATCCCATGACCACCGGGTCCCATTCACTGGATTTTCATTTAGCTGACATGGGGGGGGGGGGGGGGGGGGGGTGCGATACCGCCTGTGGTGGAACAACATCACCAATGTACAGTATGCCGCTGGTCCTGTAGCTGCCGCCCGTCTGCAGTACATTGCGGGTGGGCGGGAAGTGGTTAAAGTCAGGATCTTTCTGGAGCTTAGACTGACTGAGTGATGTCAGAACTGCACTTCTGTGATCCATAGCTGTGCGCATACTTCTCCTTTAAATTGTAATGTTTTTTGTTTAGTTTTATTTACAATTTAATATGTCTCTGTTCTTACCCATTCACCCCTTGTGTGTGTTCTCAATAGAGTTAACCAACAGGGAAACAAATGACAATTTTTTTACAGGTTAGAGGGAAATAACTGCAGAAGTCAGTAAACTCCAGAATGCCACCTGTTGCTGTTTTTGGTTCATTTATAGTATTTTTAATATTTAAAATTTGCCTGAATAAATAATATGTTTAATCATTGGTCCTAAACATGTGCGTGCGCAGCTCAATGTATATTCTAATGAAGTTTGCAGTCAAGAAAGTAATTAGTTTTATTGCAGAAGTTACGTGTTGTTTTTTGTTGAAGTAAAATTCCACTTTAATGCCCTGTTTGGTACCAGAGGGAACTTACTATATGTCTTTAGACTCATTTTGATTTGTGGTGACCCTATAAACATTTAGGCCTCATTCACACCATACGTGCAGAAAAACTGATGGAAACTGATGCACAGATTTCACTTGCAGAGACATCAGTTTTTATGCACGCTTTAATGATTTTTTTTATTCATGTTGCAGATTCCTGCACAGAAAAAAATTTCACATGTTGTGGTGTGAACAGGGCACATAGAGAACAATTGATTTTTTTGTGTACTTGCAGAACACATGCAGAAAAACTGATGTCTCTGCACCAGGTGCGAATGAGCCCTTAATATGGGATGCTCCCATGATATGTTTTTTTATATACTATATACTGGGCTTTGTAATAACAAAGCACAGCAGTTGCATCTCAACTTCCACCTGTCTGTGTCTAACTGTAGCTTCAATTATAGCCCTGTGAGCAGTAAGCCTTGGTTCACGCTATAGCTCGTATGTGAATCACATAGGAATGACACCACATTCCTATGCAATTCACGTACGACTCTGTATGGTGTGTTTTTTGAAGAATTTTGAATGGGCTCAAATCACACCGCATAGCACAAAAAACTTGCAGGAACCTTTTTTTTTTTTTTTTAGCTACACTGGAACCAGATCACATGGTCATTTTGTAGCATGCGATCTGGTGCAGGCAAATGCACTGTGTTTGTGACTTGTGTTTGGGGTGTCGTTAACTTTGAACTGATGCGTAGCAGATTGCAAAACACAATGCAATTGCAATGTGGTGCAGGAAACCGGGATTGCGGCATTTCCTGCACCACGTGTGAGCTGGGGCTGTGATCCGCATAGCACAAAAGAGTGCAGGTACCTTTTTTCTGAGAGCCGCACTGGAACCGAATTGTATGGTCATTTTGTACCATCCGGTGCAGACAAATGGACTTCTTTTATGAACTGCATTTGGGATGTCAGTAACTTTAAAGCAGCACCTGCAGCAAAACACAGTATGACTGCAATGGTGCAAGGAACACACTGTTTCCTGCACCGCGTATTTATGAATTGGGGCTTAGAGCAGAGGTGTGTTTTTCCAGGGACTCATTTAGCTGTGTAAAGGTTCTGAAAGCAAAAAAATTACTATGTTCTTACAAAAGAATGCCATGTTTTAATCTTTTTGTTGTTGCTTTTTACAGTTATACTCGCTCAATGATTACAAGCCTCCCATCTCCAAGGCTAAAATGACACAGATCACTAAGGCTGCAATTAAAGCCATAAAGGTATTAACATTTAATGAAATATGTATTTTATGATGTGCTTTTTTAAAATTATTATTTTTTTTTTTTTTTTTTAATTAAAAGGGCTGAAATAAAATCTATAATGGCCCATAATAGTGCCTCCTACTATTCTCTGTAAATCTATTTCTCTCCTACCTACTATACATAACCCTTATCTTACCTGTCTGTAACCTGCTTATTAATTGATGGAAAATTCACATTGTATAGTTTTGAGCATTTTTCTTTTTTTTTTCTTTTCACAGTTTTACAAGCATGTTGTTCAAAGTGTTGAGAAGTTTATACAAAAGGTAATTTGTACTTGTTGTACACAGTTGTGTGAGAAAATTTTATAAGCTGTATGTCTTGCTCTTAAAGGTTTGAGTTCCATCTACAGTAAACCTTACTTACGCATTAACCCCTTGACGCCAACGTCACACAAATTTGCGGCCTCACGGAACTGGGCTTTTTTCCGTGGGGCCGCATATTTGTGTACTTGTCTTTGTGCTGGGAGCACACCGCTCGGTGCGCTCCCAGCACAAAGACCACGGTGTCACTGACAGCCCGGGTCTCGTTCTAACGATCGGGACCCGGAGCTCCCCATTCCGGGTCACATAATCGCTGTGATAGCCTCTGATTGGCTATCACAGTGATCAGTCACTGTACAGCCCGGCCCCCTTGCTTTTTTCTCTCTCTATGAATGGAGAAGAGAGATACATTGTATCTCTCTAATTCCTGGCATAGAGAGAAAAAAAAAATGTAAGAGAAAAAAAAAAAAAAAGGAAGATAAATAAATATTAAAAAATAGAGAAAAATACCCAGATCAAGGTTTGATCTAGTTCATTGCCAGGGTTAGTGTTTGGTTCAAGGTCAAAGGTCAGGATTTAAAAAAAAAAAAAAATTAATTGGTGTCAATGTCAGTGTGTTTTGGGTAAAAAAGACAAAAACAAAATGCGCACTATTGTTTCTGGGCTGTACTACGGGTACAAAACAACAAATAAGATACACATATATGGTATCGCTGCGATCGTCAAGAGCTGGAGAGTTTATTTTGGATTGTTCTTTGGAGGTAGGTTATGGTAGTAAGAAGAAACACACAGCTAAATAAAAAAAAAAAGTGATTTTTTTTTTTTACTATTTTGGGCCAGTTTTCGTTTGGTAATAAAAATCAGGAGCTACCCATTAACATTTACCACCAATTTATCCTGAAAAAATCAAGGTATAATCCACCTGGATGTACAAAGCAGGTGTGATGATATGTACGGTTTTACTAACACATGTCAACGTGCAGAATTGTGCTTAGGCACTTAGATTTGTTTTACCCTTAGGCATGAAGGGGTTAAGATGCTTTTTTTTTTTTTTTTTTTTTTTCCAGCATGTTGCTGCATAACACATATGTACAGCAGCAAAAGGGTGGGCTTTGCTGCATATATGCATCTCTGGGTGGCTGATGTTTCTGTGCTAAGAGAGTACACTCATCCTCACAGTGACGTCACATGCCTGATGAAGGGGTCCTGCGAGACTCCGAAACGTTGCCTTGCTGTAACTATGTGATTGTTCATTAAAACTTTTGGACCCATATTGGTGATCCTCAGTGTGCTGGTGACATTCTAACTAACCAATCATAGTGGTCACGTGATCTCCAGATACCCTGGCGTCCCAGGACTTTTGAAAGCATTAACAGTGTGAGGGGAAGGAGTGAAGGAAAAAGATATACAACATTTTACAGAACCGTATCAGATCTGTAGATATGATTTTAACAGTCAACACTGTATATGACAAACCTATGTAAACCCTTATATTTACTAGCCAGAAATGCAGAAGAGAAATTTTTATTCCTGTGAAATTGAGAACTAAGGCATGGCAAGTGTAAGATATTGAATTTCTACTTTTTGGCCCTCTGTATGTGTCATGGACCTTACTGTATATGATGAGCCTGTAATTCTTATTTTGTGTGTGGCCAATCAGCATCTTTTATTTGCATTAAAAAAGTTTTAAACAGTCTGCACTTAGAGGCGCTCCTTTTCTCTTTGCTGTAGTTTCTTCCCTATAGAGCCTGCTTCTGCGCCCAGGAAGAGCAGCTCTGGTGCTAGACTCCTGGATAGTTAACGTTCATATGGACTTTTTATAGACTTTACATGGTTATTGATGCATGCGATTGCTTTTAGCATGTATAAAAGATATGTACCTCTCATGTCTACAATTATCGTTTTTTTATACTTGTAACGATTGTGAGTTGTGCAGGTGTAAGCACAATAAAGCAGTATCATATCATAAAGGCTTGTGTCAATGGCAATGGTTTGACATCAGTTTGCACTGAAAAGCACTCTGGGTCCTGACACCCTGAAACATTTTGCCTGTGTCCTCTTTGTTCCTTATATCTGGGCTAATCTATAGTAGTAGGAAACGCCTATTCCATAATAAGTTCAAAGTTTTTTCCTTTCTGGTTCAAATTTAGTCCACTTTTACATGCTGAGGAGGAGCAGCCATACGCAATTTTTTTTGTTTAACTTATTTGCCAGTTAAGGCATGCAGACTGATTACATGTGAAGGAATCACAGAAATGACAATATTTTTCATAGATGTGTGTCTATTTCATGCACAAGGGCTTAACAGAGTTCCTCTTTAGGATTCATTTTCTTGTACCTTTATATTGCCCTTTTGATACATCTTTTTACAAGCTTTATTTCATCTTTATTTTGTTTTACAGTGTAAACCAGAATACAAAGTTCCTGGACTTTATGTTATTGACTCCATTGTTCGACAATCTAGACATCAGTTTGGTCAAGATAAGGATGTTTTTGCACCAAGGTTCAGCAATAACATAATCAACACTTTCCAGAACTTATATCGATGTCCTGCAGATGAAAAGGTATGATATGGATGTTTTCCACTTTTTTTTTTTTTGAGAAAATTAGCAAAACACATTTTGACAAAGCGTTCCCAGATTTTTGGTTTAGACCGGCGTTTCTCAACCATAAATTTGTATGGGTTTTTCCAGAGGTTGATATGATTTTGTAATATTGCATTGCATGTTTCATTATTAATAAATTGATACTTATTAGTTATATGGCAAGTAGATGCCACGAGTGTCATTATCCCCACCCCGCTGACTGTACCCAAATATGCGGCCTCACTGACTGGGCTTTTTCTTTTTTTTTGTTTTTCTTGAGGGGCCACATATATGCGTATCTGTCTTTGTGCTGGGAATGCGCCAACACAAAAACCATACTAACAATCGGGATCCCTGTTCTGGATCACCTGATCATTGTGATAGCCTCTAATTGGCTATCACAGTGATCAGTCACAGTGCAGCCCACCTCTGTGTTTTTCTTTTTCTCTGAATGGAGTGAGAGATGCATTGTATCTCTTTTCTCCTTGCAGGGAGATGTGTAAACAAACAAATGTGTATAAAAAAAAATTAAATAAATAAAAGAAAATATTTAAAAAATTAGCTTGATCAAGGTTTGATCTAGGTCAGTGCCAGGTCATGGTCAGTATTTTTTAGGCAGGATTTCTTTTAAAAAAAAAAACAAAACATTTTTTTAGGTTAGTATCCATGTCAGTTAATGCCAGTATGTTTTAGGTAAGATAAAGAAAAGCAAAACTGTTCTTTGGTGGTAGGTTATGGTAGTAGCAAGAAATATACAGCTTAATAAAAAAACAATTATTACTATTTTGGGACAGTTTTCCTTTTAAAAATAAAAACATCAGGAGATCTCAATTACTATTTATCACCAAATAAAAGCCCAATTTGTCCTGAAAAAAAAAACAAGATATAATCCACCTGGATGCATAAACTAGTTGATATGTACAGTGGATATAAAATATCTACACATCCCTGTTAAAATATCAGGTTTCTGTGATGTAAAAAAATTAGACCAAGATAAATAATTTCAGAACTCTTTCAACCTTTAATGTGACCTAGAGAAAAAGCCATGGTCCGCAGAGAGCTTCCAAAGCATCAGAGGGATTTCATTGTTAAAAGGTATCAGTCAGGAGAAGGGTACAAAAGAATTTCCAAGGCATTAGATATACCATGGAACACAGTGAATACAGTCATCATCAAGTGGAGAAAATATGGCACAACAGTGACATTACCAAGAACTGGACGTCTCTCCAAAATTGATGAAATGACAAGAAGAAAACTGGTCTGGGAGGCTGCCAAGAGGCCTACAGCAACATTAAAGGAGCTGCAGGAATATCTGGCAAGTACTAGCTGTGTGGTACATGCGACAACAATCTCCCATATTCTTCATTTGTCTGGGCTATGGGGTCGAGTGGCAAGACAGAAGCCTTTTCTTACCAAGAAAACCATCCAAGCCCAGATAAATTTTGCAAAACCACATCTGAAGTCTCCCAAAGGAATGTGGGAAAATGTTATGGTCTGATGAAACCAAGGTTGAACCTTTTGGCCATAATTCCAAAAGATATGTTTGGTGCAAAAACAACACTGCACTTCACCAAAAAGAACACCATCTACTGTTAGGTGTTGATATAATAACTATTAGGAAGGAGTTCAAGGGTTCCTCTTGTTGAGAATAGACTTTAATTTCAGTATTGAACTGCTCAGAGATTTAAAAAAGCACATACAGTGCTCAGTGTGGAAGTGTGGGAACCATGATTTTCAGCTACTAATGAATGTTACACATGTTAGTGTGAACAGGACATGGAGCGCTCTCAATTTCTGACGATAAAAGTATATTTTTTGTACTTACTGAATAGATATAACAAAATAAGTTCTAATGTATATTTATTTGACAGAAATTGAGCAAATAAGAGATGTTCATGGTACGGGTTAACCAACACTTTAAGGGATATAAGAAGTCAGCAGATAATGCACACTGGATTTTCACATTTACAGTAACAAACATAGGAGTGGGGTATACAGTCACTGATCACTGTGATAGTCATTCAGAGGCTATCTGTCAGGAATGGACTTGCCAGTGGTGGTGGGACTCACCTGCCTTGTGGGCTGCAGTACCAGGGCTGGCCAGCGGGTGCTCTCAGCAACCAGAGGCTCACTCCTGCAATGAGCCATCACCTGAGGCTGATTACAGCAGGTGTATTTAAGGAATGGCCAGGCCTGTGATCAGGGCCTTGGTGTATGTTTCCCATGGGCCCCTGTACCTGCATTCCTGTCTGCTTTCTGCCTGATCCAGATTCTGCTTCGATCCCTGACTCTGATTGAACTCCGCCTGTCCTGACCTCGGCTATTCCTGACTACTCTTCCGCCTGCTCCTTGTGCCCTGCCTGCCCGTTTTGCTACCGACCCGGCCCGCCCGACTACGCTTAGTATTGTTTCTATTGTTATCTGTTGGAGGTTTGGTTGGTTTGTTTGCACTGTGTTTTTGTTTAGTCTTGCACTGCGTTTATGTTTTGTTTAGTCTTAATAAATTGCCTTATTCACACTATACCTGAAGTCTGCATTTCCCTGTGTCAGTCCACACATTTCTGGTCATACCCGGATCCCTAACAGAACACCAAGGCCATTCCTGACCAGAAGTGGCTGCACAGGGAAGCCATCTTGGCTTATTGTTGCTGGGAAGGATGCATCTTGATCAGGTGGTGTATTTGTCTCTGCTAGTCTTTGATGACAGAGATTTTGCTTATCAGACTCTGAAGGAGTATACCCGGGATCAACTACTAGAATGCATAAGGATCGCTCATTGCCTAGTAGATCAGGGCATAGAGTTCTCTGAGGTGCAACCATTGATTCAGGTTTGTGCAGAGTTGGCTTCATCTGGTACCCCCGAATGCAAGGATGAATTTTTGCTGCCATTTAGTGCCGACCATGTAGAGTCCCTGGTGTGGTTATTGGAGGATGATGTGGATTACTTCTTGGAGCGTTATTCTGCATGTTCACAACAGGTGCTAAGAGATTGTATAAACGCAGTGCAGTCTTTGACCAGACAGGCTTTGTGTAAGCTGAGCTTTGTTCAACCCATACTGCAGACATGGTCAGACTTGTTGCACCCAGCCTCAGTCAGCTTGCAACGTCATTCCTCTGCTCAAGGCACTCTTCCTGCATCCCCGACAGCACCCCCAGTGACGGCCCGGTATACTCTGCTAACTACCACATATCAGTCCCCTGCTCCCACTCACTGCACCTATCCTATCTTTTACCCTGTAAAGAAGTCCTCTGTAGCAACTGCTCCCTCCTTTGTTCCATCCCTCAGCTCTTCTCTGCCTACAGCTGCTCTATCCACTTACAAACCTGCGCTTACTTCCTGCGCTCCAGTAACTAAAACCAGGAAAAAGCGAAAATTCTTTCCAACCAATACCATCCTGCCAGTATCCAAACCGGTCAGCCTGCCGTCTGAGAACCCGCCTTCCGTGGTTCAGCCTGATACCCTGATGCCTGATGACCCGGTGCCCGCTGTCGTGCCTGGTGACCCGATGCCTGCTGTCGAACTAGATGACCCGGTACCCTGCTGTCGAGCCAGATGAACTGATGCCAGATGACCCGATGCCCGCTGTCGAGCCAGACGATCCAATGCCTGATGACCGGTGCCCGCTGTCGAACCAGATGACCCGGTACCCGCTGTCGAGCCTGATGCCAGATGACCCAATGCCTGATGACCCGGTGCCCGCTGTCGTGCCTGGGGACCCGATGCCCGCTGTCGAGCCAGATGACCCGGTTCCCGCTGTCGAGCCAGATGATCCAATGCCTGATGACCCGTTGTCTTGCCAGATGACTCGGTGCCCGTTGTCATGCCAGTTAACTCGGTGCCCACTGTCGTGCCAGATGACTCGGTGCCCTCTGTCGTGCCAGATGACTCGGTGCCCATGGTCTTGCCAGATGACTCGGTGCCCGCTGTCTTGCCAGATGACTCGGTACCCCAGCTGTCGGTACCCGCTGCCAGATGACTCGTGCCCGCTGTCGAGCTTGGTGACCCAGTGCCCGTGGTTCTGCTAGATGGCTCGGGCCCGCTGTCTTGCCAGATGACTCGTGCCCGCTGTCTTGCCAGATGACTCGTGCCCGCTGCCCAGATGACTCGTGCCCGCTGTCTTGCCAGATGACTCGGTGCCCGCTGTCGTGCCAGATGACTCGGTGCCCGCTGTCGTGCCAGATGACTCGGAGCCCGCTGTCGTGCCAGATGACTCGGTACCCGCTGTCGTGCCAGATGACTCGGTGCCAGATGACTCGGTGCCCGCTTTCGTGCCAGATGACTCGGTGCCCGCGGTGGAGCTTGGTGACCCGGTGCCCGCAGTTCTGCTAGATGACTCGGTGCCCGCTGTCGAGCTTGGTGACCCAGTGCCCGCTGCTCCGCCTGATGGCCCGGTGCCCGCTGCTCCGCCTGATGGCCCGGTACCCGCTGCTCCGCCTGATGGCCCGGTACCCGCTGCTCCGCCTGATGGCCCGCTGCCTTGCCTGCTGCTCCACCTGATGGCCCGGCTCCACCCTGCCCGCTGCTCCACCTGATGGCCCGGTGCCCGCTGCTCCACCTGATGGCCCGGTGCCCGCTGCTCCGCCTAATGGCCCGGTGCCCGCTGCCTTGCCTGCTGCTCCGCCTGATGGCCCGGTGCCCGCTGCTCCGCCTGATGGCCCGGTGCCCGCTGCTCCGCCTGATGGCCCGGTGCCCCCTGCTCCGCCTGATGGCCCGGTGCCCGCTGCTCCACCTGATGGCCCGGTGCCCGCTGCTGCTCCTGATGGCCCGGTGCCCCTGCTCCGCTGATGGCCCGGTACCCGCTGCTCCGCCTGATGGCCCGCTGCCCGCTGCCTTGCCTGCTGCTCCGCCTGATGGCCCGGTACCCGCTGCTCCGCCTGATGGCCCGGTGCCCGCTGCTCCGCCTGATGGCCCGGTGCCCGCTGCCTTGCCTGCTGCTGCCCGCCTGATGGCCCGGTGCCCGCTGCTCCGCCTGATGGCCCGGTGCCCGCTGCCTTGCCTGCTCCACCTGATGGCCCGGTGCCCGCTGCTCCGCCTGATGGCCCGGTGCCCGCTGCTCCGCCTGATGGCCCGGTGCCCGCTGCTCCGCCTGATGGCCCGGTGCCCGCTGCCTTGCCTGCTGCTCCACCTGATGGCCCGGTGCCCGCTGCCTTGCCTGCAGCTCCACCTGATGGCCCGGTGCCCGCTGCTCCGCCTGATGGCCCGGTACCCGCTGCTCCGCCTGATGGCCCGGTGCCCGCTGCCCGCCTGATGGCCCGCTGCCTTGCCCGCTGCTCCGCCTGATGGCCCGGTGCCCGCTGCCTTGCCTGCAGCTCCGCCTGATGGCCCGGTGCCCGCTGCTCCGCCTGATGGCCCGGTGCCCGCTGCTCCGCCTGATGGCCCCGGGTACCGCTGCTCCGCCTGATGGCCCGGTACCCGCTGCTCCGCCTGATGGCCCGGTGCCCGCTGCCTTGCCTGATGCTCCACCTGATGGCCGGTGCCCGCTGCTCCACCTGATGGCCCGGTGCCCTGCTTTGCCTGCTGCTCCGCCTGATGGCCCGGTGCCCGCTGCCTTGCCTCCTCCCTGATGGCCCGGTACCCGCTGCTCCGCCTGATGGCCCGGTACCCGCTGCACCGCCTGATGCCCGCTGCCTTGCCTGCTGCTCCACCTGATGGCCCGGTGCCCGTTTGCCTTGCCTGCTGCCCGCCTGATGGCCCGGTGCCCGCTGCCTTGCCTGCTGTCCCGCCTGACACGCCTCTGCCTGCTGTCCCGCCTGACGTGCCTCTGCCTGCTGTCCCGCCTGACGTGCCTCTGCCTGCTGTCCCGCCTGACGTGCCTCTGCCTGCTGTCCCGCCTGACGTGCCTCTGCCTGCTGCCCAGCCCGACGTGCCTCTGCCTGCTGCCCAGCCTGACGTACCAGCTCCTGATGCCCAGCCTGCTTCTGGAAATCCTGTGTCCAGCAATCTGCCTTCCTGCAGTCTCCTACAAAAAGGAGACCCAGCCAAACGCTTGATTCCGGCAGTGGGATGTCCATCCAGTTGCCGGACCCAGGCGGTGGAACATTTGGGCCATTACGGACTGTTTGGAGCGTCCTGAGGCCGCTCCTTGAGGGGGAATACTATCAGGAATGGACTTGCCAGTGGTGGTGGGACTCGCCTGTCTTTGTGGGCTGCAGTACCAGGGCTGGCCAGCGGGTGCTCTCAGCAACCAGAGGCTCACTCCTGCAATGAGCCATCACCTGAGGCTGATTACAGCAGGTGTATTTAGAGAATGGCCAGGCCTGTGATCAGGGCCTTGGTGTATGTTTCCCATGGGCCCCTGTACCTGCATCCTGTCTGCTTTCTGCCTGATCCAGATTCTGCTTCGATCCCTGACTCTGATTGAACTCCGCCTGTCCTGACCTCGGCTATTCCTGACTACTCTTCCGCCTGCTCCTTGTGCCCTGCCTGCCCGTTTGCTACCGACCCGGCCCGCCCGACTACGCTTAGTATTGTTTCTATTGTTATCTGTTGGAGGTTTGGTTGCACTGTGTTTTTGTTTAGTCTTGCACTGCGTTTATGTTTTGTTTAGTCTTAATAAATTGCCTTATTCACACTATACCTGAAGTCTGCGTTTCCCTGTGTCAGTCCACACATTTCTGGTCATACCCGGATCCCTAACACTATCACAGTGTTTGTGTGATTGGGAATTGGTCCTCCTGGTTCCTGATCGTTAGTACAAGACCTGGCGATGTTTGTGACAGCTCAGTCTCTGTGTGTAGTGCACTGTTAGCACAAACACAGCAGTGCATATATGCAGCCTCACAGATAAAGACCCACTTTTAAGTGACCGCATATATGTGTACACTCAGCAGGAGGGGGTTAACAAGAAGTTGTAAGCATAACATATTGACACAAGACTAGAGATAACTATTTTACAGTGTCAAATGCAGATTCATATAAGATATGGTATGTAGGTAACGTACCATTGGGCTTTTGCAGTTTACTCTTATGGATAAATTAGATCTAGTCAGGGGTGTTTCTGGTTTACATGCTTAATCTGCTTGACTTTATATCTTTATACAGAGCAAGATTGTCAGAGTACTGAATCTGTGGCAGAAGAACAATGTTTTCAAGAGTGAAATTATCCAACCACTTCTTGATATGGCTGCTGGTATTCCTCCACCTGTTTTCACACCTGTCTTACCTAGTACTGCTGCAGCTGTTAGTAATACACCCGGTAAGCTCTTCTTTCCAGTTGGTTACTTAAAGGGAAATTATCAAGTTTTTTTGTCAGTGGTATTTGTTTGCAATCCTTTGTCACTTTTTCATTGTTTGTGGAAAAAAAAAAATCATCATTTTAAAAAGAACAATAAATAACCACTGCTTTTATGACACTAAATTTTGATTTGAATGTCCAATAGTGGCTGATCACTGTGACCAATCACAGCTAGCAACACAATTGTACACAATGAATGGCATGAATCAAAGCCATTCATTATTTACAGTTGTCATGTGATCTGCTGTGATTGGTTACAGTGATCACATGGTACCGATAGTGGGGCCGGTACACTAGCTGTTGGACACAGTTGGTGACATATCGCGCCATGAGCGTGGCCCATTCCGGGAGGACATCATATGACCTCCACCCATTAATTTGCTATAGGCTAGGCAGGAAGTGATTATTGATACTTGATACAAGCTATGTGAGCCCAAGACAGGGAGGTTGGTGTATATCTCTGAATAGATTTGACCAGCATGGAATCTAATTACACTGTACAACTTTCTAGAATTGCAGAAAATGTGCGGACAGTTAACTCTAAAGCCACTCTCGATCAAAATAAAAATTTTTTTTTACTTTTTTAGTCTTTAGTCCTGATTGTTACGTTACATATTTATATAACTACACACATAGGAAAAAGATCTGTTGTGCATTGGATAACTGTTGATTTAGAAATCCTTGTGCAGCAGTCCAGCCTAAATAAATTGAAAGCTTGACCCTTGCCACAACCCCTCTCCATTCTGTATTCTCTAAAGAATGTAAAAATAAAGTCTGTATGTGACACAGTCCTCCTCCTATGTTTTCTATGAAGAATGTACAGTAAATATAAAAAGTTCTTCCCACAAAACAATACCTCTATAAAGGCTGTATATAAAAAGAAAATCTGTTTGTTTTCACTCATTTTGGTATAGAACCAGTGGCTGTACGGTCCTAAAATGTATAGCATTGCCTGTAATTAAAATATGATTATTTTTTTTTAATACAAGGGACGCCAGCCACTCCAGTTACTCCCGCAAATGCATCTCAAAGCATTCCTGACCCATGGATTGCTCAGATAACCAGTACAGACACCCTAGCTGCAGTGGCTCAGATATTACAAAGCCCTCAGGGACAACAGGTATGGTGTAACTATTTATTCTAATATAAAACAAAACATTATGTTATATTTGTTCAAAGTTTTATTAAGAGTTGATATTTTACATATAGTTTTTTTATTTGCACATGTTCTAAAAACTGAAATTGACATAATTTCCTGCAATCGTTATTAGACAACAATAAGAAATATGTCTTGAGATATTTTTAGTTACAGGAGGCTTTAATAAATTCCAATAAAAGATTTTAATAGTGGATAATGCTTTTTATTGTACAATATGACTTATAGGAAGTCCACATCTTAAGTCTGTATTGCTTGGACACAGGTCAGATCATTTCTTTCTATGTGTGTAGAATTTTTATCAGCTCAGGTCATAAATCTTTACAAAAGAGTTAGGGTCTCATGTCAAGGAGGGTTTCGCCCATGCAGCATGAAAGCACAGTGTTTATGGGTGCAAGGGAGGCACATGTGCAGTGTACAGTTTTCTGACAGCAGCCTGTCAGAATCATTGACAGACCGAAATACGCAGCAGCTGGACCAAGCGGTACTCGTGTTTAGGGCCGTATATGTTCAGGGATGTATGCCCCGAACATAGGTGTCTGGCCATGCCATTGATTTTGACAGGCTCCGGGCAGAGACTATATGCTGCATGTGTGTCCCTTGCATCCAAAAACATTGGGTGTTTACGTTATGTGGGCCAAATCGCCCATGTGCATGAGCGTTAAAGATGTTGTTTTCATTTTCATATCTTTAAGTTTAAAAACAGTAAAGACCAAGTACCACAGCAAAAAACATAGGTACAATGAACATACAAATAACCACATATTATTGTCACACATCATGCGTGCGAGCCAAAGTGTACAATAATGTAGGAAACAAAATACATTCCCAAAAAGACTTGGAGATATGCATTCAATGATGTATGTCACACAGGCAAAACCAAATATCAAAGCATTCCCAATAAGTGCAATATTAGAAAGTGAGTACAACAACGTAATAGGGGAATGGAGGAAGTATTCGTTTGCATGCATAACTGTCCTTGAGGGCTATCCTGAAATGAGAGTCACACACAGCATTTTTATGCCAACATCAGATGCCACAACCCTTGCTCATTGGGAAGGTAGTGCTGTAATAGAGGGCCACATGCTCACTTTCCTTCAGTCATTATATACAAAGAAAGGGTCATTTTGTTCTTATATGCTAACACAGCACCAGACGATAGTTCTGTAAAGAAATGCACACAGAAATATTGTGAAACTGAAAACATTCTAGTGTGCTTTCATTCACAGAATGACCTCTCTGGAGAAATGTTACAATTTATTTTATTCTTGAGCACAGGGCAGAACATTTCCACACTGATACATTGTATACTTTAAAGTGTTACTAAACCCACAACAGTAAAATCAGTCTGTATATACATTAAAGCATTATACTCACTGTGGAACCTAACGGGTTAATCCTCTGCATTGTGCAAAAAGGCCATTTGATCCTTTGTTCTCTGCTCCTCCTCTTGTTCAAATATTATCTCCTGTTAAGACAGACTGAACCGTAGCCATTCTGCACATGCTCAGTTTAGTGTCTACTGTTAGGTTTTTTTTTTTTCTTGGGAGAGTGCATGTGATCAGCACAGGGCCAATCAGCACTGTCCAGATAGAGGACAGAGGTTTTGCATCCTCCTAGAGCAGAAAGAAAATACCTCCTACAAGCTTTAACCAGTGCTCTGCTGAACACTGATCGAAGTCACAAGACTACTGAGAAAAGGTATTTAGCAGTTTGTATTTACTAAAATAATTGCACCTCCATGTTCTGTGTACTGTAGGAGATCAGATATAGTGAATGCAGGATCCTGGGTTTAGTAACACTTTAAGGTACAGTTCACATTGATGCGAATTCTGATGTGATTTTTATCCAATGGTAATGCATAGATTCACGTCATCTGAAATGATGTTTTCAGTGAAGGACGTTCACACCAATGCGGTGAAATTCTGATATGGCAAAAAAGAAAAAATATTGTGCGAGTTTGATCTGGTGCGGTGCAAATTCAGCTCTATGGACTTCAATGGGACCGGAATTAATTTGCAATGTTGTGTTCACATTACTGCGAATCCAGCTTTTCTTTGTAGATTTTTGCATACTTTGTCCAGACAAAAAAATCACAGCTGTGACCAATCCCCTCACAAATTTGCATTAGAATCTCACTTGACATGGAAAAATCATACTGTGAATTCACACCTCAGTCACCCTAAAAATGGATGTAATTTGCACCTTAGCAGTGTGAACCTACTGGCAGGTGATAAATAATGAATGTGTGTGTTCTTTAGTGAATTGGCTTTAATGATTTATCTTTTTTTTAATGGTATTTTCTTCACATGGTTAGCAAATGTGCAGTATTTACCTCACATTTAATATTGACTCTTTTATTATCTTATTTGATATTTTCGAAACATTGGTCACGTGACCTTCCTATCGCATGCAAAATCCTTTAGTGAGTCCCCCCCCCCCCCCCCCCCCCCCCCCCTCCCCCGCTGCCCACTCACCCCTTAGTGATCTTCCATTTCAACAGAGAACTCTGATCCTTTCGTTTAGTAGAGATCACATGACTAAGTGCCAAGGTCTTCACAAATCTGGTCAGTACTGAAGGGGACCTAAAACCTATTTTTATCCCAGGAGAGTTATTTCATCCCTTCTAGTACTTCTTTATTGATCAATACCAGCAAAGCTTGTAACTCTTGCATATATCTGTTACAAGTTGGACCTGTATATATGACCCAGTCATTGGTAAGGTAATTTTGCCAGTCAGTTCTTGTACAGCTATAGATGAACTTCAGTTCCCAAATATTTTTGGTAGAAACTAGATAATCAATGCTATGTCAGTGGAAACCAACCACCAATGGTAGATAAAATATTTTTTATGTATCCTTACTTTTTAATGCAATCCAGATATGTAAGTGTTTGCCTTTTGTCTTCTTACAGCTTCAGCAGTTGGTTCAGTCTTTGCATGTACAGCAACAAAAGCCTCAGCCTTCTCTTCTCCAAGCACTAGATGCTGGACTTGTGGTTCAGCTGCAAGCACTTACTGCTCAACTTACTGCTGCAGCTGCCGCATCAAACACTCTGAACCCACTGGAGCAAAGTGTATCCCTCAGCAAGGTATGTTTTACAAATTGCATCTTTAACAGTTAAAGAGACACTAAACTAGTTTAAAAAGAAAACATTTGTCCAAGTATGTATTCCTAACTCAGAAAGTAACTTCTGTTACTCTCAACCACCTCCGAAACTCCAAATTCTTTTTTTTTTTTTTTTTTGCTGCTGTGATCCTACTTTCTATTAGAAGATGGCTATGTTCCATAGTCCAACTGTATGTAGAAATGTAGCTACCCTGTCTTGCTCATTCCTAACATGGACAAGGAACTATTGAGTTTGTAGTGTGCATAGAGCAGCGGAAAGGATGTGCACTACTTATGCCAAACAAACGGTTTAATGAGAAATATTTTACTGGGCTATTAAGTAGTGGATGTGTATGGATTATTTTTTGGAGAATAGGGATATTGTTTGGAGTCACTTTAATTTGGGTTAGATACCATCATGCTATATTTGTGAACATATGGTCTTAAAATGAACCTTTCTTTGCCCATGCACAACATCAGTAAAGATTAAATTATCTTCTCCTTCCCAAGCAGCATATACTTCCCTTTTATGCTCCCCTGCTGCTCCATTCAGCCATCTGGACTGGGGAATGTGTAAAGATATATACTAGTAGAATTTTGTTTGCAACGTTTTGTTTTTAAGAATGTTCTTTCAACTTCCTAATTGATAGTGGGGTAAAATCAATGTTCATTTTTTACCACAGTGACAAGGAAATTCAAATGAATTGAAATTTTTCTCCAACAAATTACTCTAAACTTTTTTTTTTTGGGGGGGGGAGTCTATGCACTCTGAAATCAAATGTTAAACATTTGCCCTCCAGAGGATGTACTCCCCTTCCTGACCAGGCCATTTTTTGTGATCCGGCACTGCGTTATTTTAACTGAAAATTGTGCGGTCATGCAGCGCTGCACCCATATGAACTCCCCCCCACACAAATAGAGCTTTCTTTCAGTGGTATTTGATCGCCTGTGCGGTTTTTATTTTTTTTGTGCTATAAACAAGAAGACTGACAATTTTGAGAGAAAAAAATATATTTTTGACTTTTTTCTGTTAAACATTAGCCACCCGGCCAATAGCCGTTTGGCGGACGGAAAAATGCTTTAGATTTCCGGGTGGACACCATATGGCTTACTCCCGGGCATGCGCAGTTTGCGCGCTTGCAGAGCCGTGCAGTGGCGCGATCTGTCACCGGCCATGTACCTCGGACACGGCCGATGACAGATCTGAGTACTGGCCCCCGTTGCCGGTACCATGTGACCTGCTGTGACCAATCACAGCAGATCACATGACAGTTGTATACAATGGATGGCTTCATTTATGCCACCCATTGTATACTAGTGTCTAGCTGTGAATGGTCACAGCGATCACATGCACGTCATGTGGTTAGCTGTGGCCAAATCACAGCTAAGCACAAAAAAAACCCCTGAATGAATCGATGTCATTCAGGTAAATGCTTGCTTATAGAATACTGATCACTTCCCCAAAGTAGTACAATGTTACTATGGTAACATTGTACTACTTTGGTCATAGTGAAATATGAAAAAAAAAAAATCTTAAAAAGAAAAAAAATTTAATAAAAAATTAAAAATAATAAAAAATATATATATATATATATATATATATATTTTTTTTTTATTTTTTTTTTCATACTGTCACCAGTGTCCCTGATCACCACCATGCCAGTTATATGAAGATGCTGTACTGCACTGGTGACAGTATGTAAAAAAAAAATAGTGAAAATAATTTTTTTAATTTTCCGAAAAATTATGACAAAAAAAAGTACAACTTCAAAAAACTCGCCATGCCTCTTATGAAGTACGTCGGACTGTCTACTGTGCAAAAAGGGGTCATTTGGGGGATATCTGTACTGTTCTGACATTCTTGGACCTCAAGAAATTAGATTGGCTGTCAGTACTTCAGGATTGATCAATATTCAGATCTATACCATAGTTTGTGAATTCTATAACTTTCCTACAAACTAAAAAATACATCTTAATTTGGGTTATTTTCACCAAAGACATGTAGCAGAATACATCTCGGCCTAAATTTATGAAGAACAATTATTTATTTGCTAACGTTTATAACAGAAACAAAGAAAAACGTTTTTGTTTTTTTCAAAATTTTCGGTCTTTTTTTTGGTTAATTTAGCAAAAAATAAAAACCCCAGTGGTGATTAAATACCACCAAAAGAAAGCTCTAGTTGTGTGAAGAAAATTATAAAATTTTAGTTTGGGTACAATGTTGTATGACTGCGCAATTGTCATTCAAAATGTGAGAGCACTGAAACCTGAAAAATGGCCTGGGCAGGAAGGGGGTAAAAGTGCCCTGTATGGAAGTGGTAAAATATGCCCAGTAAAAAAAATTTAAAAAATAAAATTTCATAAATTTAGGCCAAAATTTATTCTGCTACATGTCTTTGCTAAAAATCCCAACACATGTAAATTAATTGGTTTACGTCAAGTTATAGTGTTTTACTAATGGTATGTATACTGGAATTTTTTTTTTTTATTATTAATGGCATTGATCAGCTACTTATAGTGGGACTACGGTGGGCATTCTGACACTGGGGGGGACTGACTTGTTTTCACTGACATCCCCAGTGACACCAATACAGTGATCAGTGCTAATAAAAAGCACTGACACTGTACTAATGGCAACTGGGCATGAAGGGGTTAACATCTGGGGCGATCAAATGGTTAAATGTGTGCTGTTTCATTATAGGGGCTGTGTGTGTGTTTCACTGTAAGCACACTGCTTGGTATGGCTCTGCTATACAGAGCCATACAAAGCAGTGTGCACGAGCAGATGGGAGAGATCTTTATTGTTTACATACAGTTCTCTCACCCGTCAGATATCACCGGGTGGTGGCGAGTAATAATCACTGGCCGAGACGCACTGATTGACAGCCCAGGCTCGAATGGCCCTACCCGGTACTGCAAAATCACATATATATATATATATATATATATATATATATATATATATATGTGATTTTTGTGCACCGGTGCCGCCTTGTAGCAGTATTTCTGCTATAGGGAGGCACGGAACTGGCTAAAAGCATTTTTTTAGGTACTTCTGAACTACATTCAACATGTCATTGGATGTACAGATTAGAATTTTCGTACGTATGTTTGTATGAAAGATAGTTTCGAAAATCTACTAGTGCTGGGCCAGTTTAAGTTTCAGACTGCCTTTATGGATTTTAACCACTTGAAGACCAGGCCTATTATGAAACCTCTCTCCTACATGTAAAAATCAGTTTCTCTGACGCTTTGCCGTTCGCGGCAATACCTCACGTGTGGTGCGATCACCATTTACACATATGTGTGCAACCGACATGTGTGTCTGCCTTTGTGCATGAACACAGTGGGACTGGGGTGCTTTAAAAATGTATTTTTGTAATTTTACACTCTCTCTTCTTTTTTTAAATGCTATCACAAAGGATGAACAACATCCCTTGTGATAGCGTGGGCCACTGACAGGTCCTCATTTTGCCCTTAAAAGCATCTGATCAAATCAAGATGGGTATGATCAGATGCTTTTGCATGCCAAAAATAGCTTGTTTACATTGTGGAGAAATCAGAAGTGACAAAATATTTGTCGCTTCCAGTCTCTTATACCATAAAGATGATTTGGGAAGGTTTGGTCCCTGTTCAGCTCTAGAACCCCCTTCTTTTATCTGTAAACACAATCCAGCAGCTACTTACCCTCTAGCATTGCTTTTACAAAAAAGGAATCACCAGCTGAAAATGACTATACCAGACATCCCAGTATAACAACTTCAACCTCTCAACATACTAATACTTCACAGGGGCTGCAGTGGTTAAACAAGACTATAGACTCCTTTCTTAGGAGAAGGTCACTTGCTCACCCGTACCCAGAACTGCTGGGTAGTTCAGTTTGATCCCGGCAGCCAAATACGAGTGCAAGAAATGTGAGTATATGCTGCTTGGGAGCTAGTTTTTTTTTTTTTTTTTTGCCCTGCATGAGCCAAGTTAAAAATCCCTTTTAAACGTAAAAAACTAGCCATGCCACTTATTAACTTATGTTTAGTTTGTCTGGCATGACCATATACTTCCATCTGCAGAGTTCCATAAACCTACAAGGAACTGATTAGTGACGCTGTCCCCACAAAAAAAGAGACACTGTACTTGCCTTTCCTACTGCTTGTGTCGCAAATTGCCACTGCTCCAACACACACAATGTGTTGAATATCTACAGTAGATGGGCAACGCTGAAGCTGCGGTGTTTGAAGACACAGACCCCTGGAAAGGTAAGTTTACAGCCTGTTTTTCTTTTTTTTTTTACAAGGCTGTTATTTTTTTTGCAAGTGACCTGTGGTGGCAGGGTTATTTTAGCATTCACTGAAGGTTATACTAAAAATTATCACATGTGCACACTTAACAAATTCTTTCTGTTCTCAGAAACTAATGGACAGGTTTGATTTTGGGGAAGACACTGTGCAGAATGACGAGCCAAAAAAGGAGACCCCATCAATGTAAGTATTTATTCTGACATTTATTATTGCATTCCTATTGTGTATTCCAGATAACTTATGTGTATTATTTTATTTCAGTGGTGGCGTACTGGAACAAAAGTTTATTGGCACACATTTTTGATGAGTGTTTTTACATATTGTTCAGAATATAGTGGAGAAATAAAAGCAGCACAGAAAAAATATCCCACCATCTAGTGGTCATAAGTAGAACTGCACTAGTTAAATGTGCTTTTGAAAAGGTTTAAGATAGATTTTATTAATTTCTAATTTTCATGTAGTGTTAACATACTGCACAGTTCTTTGCAGGGTGCAAATAATTGTTCACATCAGTTTTAGCAAGCAAAGTAATACACTTTTTCATAGTAGCAATCTCCACATGGTTCTTGTAGATGTAATATTTAATGATTTATACATTTTAATATATTTAAAAACAGTCTATGTGTAATTTTCCATTAGTTATGTACATAAGGGCAGCCATATTTGCACATTGTATATGCAGTCTCTGCTCCCTGCAACTACGTAGTTCTGCTTCTGCTATTGCTCCTTTAGAAAAAGAAAAGCTGATCATACACATGTAGATTCTTGCAGACTTGAAGGAAAGGAAATTCTAACCGATTTCTCCACTCATGCTGCGTATCGTGGATGCGCACATTTCTCACTGTGTCTATTGTAGTTTTGCAGCCGACCCTACAAGATGTCAAAATACACATGCAGTGTCTATATTTGGTGCTGTTCAGTCAATGATTTTCCACCTGGCACCTTTGATTTTTTTTTTTTTTAATTGAGGGATGTTGTGCAGGAGGCGGCTGACAGGGTCATCCACTGAACAAATTTAAGCTGGCTCATTATGAACTAGTCAAATATCACTGTGTGTATAGCCAGCTTAACTCTGTAATTTGGCTAGTTCATGAAAAACAATGTACTTTATTGGTGGCTGGTATGTTATCTCAGCAATTGTTAGTGTATCAAAGCCACATCTTTTTAAATGTTTTTATTGCAGGCTATGTACCTACAAAGGAGAAGCACCCTCTATATTTTTCAAGATGACCTTTATTGTCAGAACCAAAAGTGAGGGGAGAACAAAAAGTTTGGGTTGTCACCAGAACAGGAATAAACATCTTTCAGTGGTGACACTTGTTCTGGTGACAGCTGTCTACAATAAAGTTTGTCTCACTTTGAAGAGATTTCTCTACGCTTCCTGTGCTGTCTGCAGGAAAACTCCCCATTGGGAGATCGATGGCAAAAAAAAAAAAAAAATGACAGCAGTTTTAAACCTTGGCTACTTTATTCAAAATTGCAAACAAAATGGCTTCAGATAATCTGTAAAGTGATTGCAATTGTATTGATATACAGTGGTCTCTTATATCCCCCCCCCCCCCCCACTCCACCAGTGCTGTGCTCTCCTCTGTGTGACCCATCAGCAATATGGTGCTTAAAAGACAGGCTGTATGGGTCTATAGACATACACAGCGCAGCTCAACAACGCCCCCGACTCCCTTCTCACAGGATTTGACTGACAGCAGCAGGAGCCTGTGGCTTGCGCTGCTTCCTGTGTCTCCTGCAAAATAAGAGCGAGCAGCAGTGATGCAGCCGGGGACAGCAGTGGAGTGTGAGAGGAGACAGGTACAGTCAGGTCCATAAATATTGGGACATGGACACAATTCTAACATTTTTGGCTCTATACACCACCACAATGGATTTGAAATGAAACAAACAAGATGTGCTTTAACTGCAGACTGACAGCTTTAATGTGAGGGTATTTACATCCAAATCAGGTGAACGGTGTAGGAATTACAACAGCTTGCATATGTGCCACCCACTTGCTAAGGGACCAAAAGTAATGGGACAATTGGTTTCTCAGCTTTTCTATGGCCAGGTGTGTGTGTTATTCCCTCATTATCCCAACTACAATGAGCAGATAAAAGGTCCAGAGTTAATTTCAAGTGTGCTATTTGCATTTGGAATCTGTTGCTGTCAACTCTCAAGATGAGATCCAAAGAGCTGTCACTATCAGTGAAGCAAGCCATAATTAGGCTGAAAAAACAAAACAAACCCATCAGAGAGATAGCAAAAACATTAGGCGTGGCCAAAACAACTGTTTGGAACTTTCTTAAAAAGAAGGAACGCACCGGTGAGCTCAGCGACACCAAAAGACCCGGAAGACCACGGAAAACAACTGTGGTGGATGACCGAAGAGTTCTTTCCCTGGTGAAGAAAACACCCTTCACAACAGTTGGCCAGATCAAGAACACTCTCCAGGAGGTAGGTGTATGTGTGTCAAAGTCAACAATCAAGAGAAGACTTCACCAGAGTGAATACAGAGGGTCCACCACAAGATGTAAACCATTGGTGAGCCTCAAAAACAGGAAGGCCAGATTAGAGTTTGCCAAAAGACATCTAAAAAAGCCTTCACAGTTCTGGAACAACATCCTATGGACAGATGAGACCGAGATCAACTTGTACCAGAGTGATGGGAAGAGAAGAGTATGGAGAAGGACAGGAACTGCTCATGATCCTAAGCATACCACCTCATCAGTGAAGCATGATGGTGGTAGTGTCATGGTGTGGGCATGTATGGCTGCCAGTGGAACTGGTTCTCTTGTATTTATTGATGATGTGACTGCTGACAAAAGCAGCAGGATGAATTCTGAAGTGTTTTGGGCAATATTATCTGCTCATATTCAGCCAAATGCTTCACAACTCATTGGACGCCGCTTCACAGTGCAGATGGACAATGACCCAAAGCATACTGCAAATGTAGCCAAAGAGTTTTTTAAGGGAAATAAGTGAAATGTTATGCAATGGCCAAGTCAATCACCTGAATCCGATTGAGCATGCATTTCACTTGCTGAAGACAAAACTGAAGGAAAATGCCCCAAGAACAAGCAGGAACTGAAGACAATTGCAGTAGAGGCCTGGCAGAGCATCACCAGAGATGAAACCCAGTGTCTGGTGATGTCTATGCGTTCCAGACTTCAGGCTGTAATTGACTGCAAAGGATTTGCAACCAAGTATTAAAAAGTGAAAGTTTGATTTATGATTATTATTCTGTCCCATTACTTTTGGTCCCTTAACAAGTGGGTGGCACATATACAAACTGTTGTAATTCCTACACCGTTCACCTGATTTGGATGTAAATACCCTTAAATTAAAGCTGACAGTCTGTAGTTAAAGCACATCTTGTTCGTTTCATGTCAAATCCATTGTGGTGGTGTATACAGCCAAAAATGTTAGAATTGTGTTGATGTCCCAATATTTATGGACCTGACTGTAAGTGTTAAGGGGTGGGAGGACAGAACGGTTAGTGGGATGTTTTTTTTTTCTCCTAATACAAGGAATGCTTTAAAGTGGTTGTAAACCCCTTATTACCCAGTGGAGTGACTGGCCTCAGGTGAAACACATAGGTGAAACAAATCCTCCTACATACCTTGTCCGTCTGCAATATACTCTTCTCTACATCCGTTCAAAGAGCTGAATTATAAAGCTTGTCTGAGAGTTCAGAATAAAGGGGGTGGAGAGCTGAGGTCATACTCTGCAGAGCACAGTTAAGAAAGCTCTGATAGCTGATTGGAGGGAAGAGACACCCCCCCTCCACACAGCTCACAGGAACAGAGCTGAGGCTATCCCCCCCCCCCCCCCACCATTTTTCTCTTGGTGTCAGGAAAACTTGTCAGAAGTGATTCATGCTGATAACGGAGGAACAAAGCAGCAGACAAAAGTGACACTAAGTGCTCCTAATTGAGACATGTACATGCTATAGAGGGCTATGCTTTGTTCATATTTCATGTCTGAAATTTACATCCACTTTAAGGTAAACCACTTTTGACTTTAGAACCACTTTAAGCAGTCAGAGTAGTTGCAGTAACTAATCCACCCTGCCTCTGATGGCTAATTTTCAAATATCTACATGACTAAAGTGACAGAAATATGCAAGAATTAGCATGTAAGTATAAAAGCCACATCAAAGAAAACACTGCAATAACCTAAAATATGTGCTTACTAAAATACAGTTATTTCCTTTTGTTTTCAACTAGTTTACACACTGTGCAATACAGCTGGTAAATGTCTTGTTATCCATGTTTGTTATTTAACCAAAAGTTTCTAATATATTTTCAGCCCTCTTGCATCGGAGTCTGTGAATAACTCTCTGTTCCATCAAATTGCCGAACATCTGCAGCAGCAAAATCTTGAACAATTCCGCCATCAATTTTTGGAACAGCAACATGCTCAAAAGGTGACTATTGTGCTCTTCTGTTTTTTACATTTGAAGTACGCACAGTGTGAAATCACAAAGGGGGAACTTACTAATACTGGAGCAGACAGAATCTGGAGCAGCTGTGCATAGTAACCAATCAGCTTCTAACTTCAGCTTGCTAACCCTTTCACTGCCAGTTCTGTACACTGTACGGACCTCCATTCCTTCTCTGCTATAACCTATAGCAGAACTGTTCAGCAGACTCTGAACAAGCAGATAGCTCTGATTAGCGGCTAACAAGCCACTGTACAGAGCTATACACCTCAAATGTAACTACCCTGCCGCTACTTCCCTGTCCTCAGCCTCTCCACCTCCCGCTGCTACTGTTTTTTTTTTTAATTTTTTTATTAAATGGTCTTCCCCCACTCTGCTGTCACCCCCCTAGCACCAATTCCCCCCAACGATTGGCACCCCCCCACCACAAACCCAATCCCCCACAGCTATATCCTGCCACCGGCTTGCTGCAGGAACTTTGGCGCATTAAGTATAATATGTTTGTTACTTTAATTAGGAAAAATAAAAACCCGTCTTTAGTAACACTTTGTTAAGGTTTGAAAATAAAATCTAGAAGCTGAATGGTTGCCATGTGCAGCTGCTCTAGGTCCTGGCAGTTCCAGTTTTTGTAAATTCCCCTTGTAAATTGAAAATCTTTTTTTTCTTTTTTTTCTTTTTTTCCAGACAAAAAATGTAAAAGGACTATGTATTGTGTAAAATGTTGCAGAACATTTCTGGTCCTATATATAAGAAAAAGATAAGTAATGCTGTCCTTATAAGACTTTTTGGCATGTGGTGAGATATCAGGATTGCCACATGTATAACAAAACATATTAAAGGCTGTGAAGGTAAAGAAGGAGAGAAAAAAAGTTTTTTTTTTTTTTTTTTTTTTTTTTTTTTTTTTTGTACTTTTCCATTATCTGGGAGCCATTAATATTGTTATCTGACTGAGAGGGACACAGTACATTGGTCTTGTATTGGGCTCTATTTGGGCACTGTGAAATCTGCCGGTGGTGAGCCCTTTGTTCCTAGGGCTAGTAAGGATGGGGGTGGTGTTAGTGAACCTCTCACTGCTCTCACATAGTTACATTCTGATGGGCAGATTTTGTTGTCATGGTTCTCCCAGTAGCATCTTTGTGGCTAACAATGCCCCCTGAATTTTCCATGATCTGCACCAATGTTTTGTGATTTTTTTGCCTTTGTGTGCTCTTTTAATGAAGGAATTTCAGTTTGGGACCTCCCAAACATTGAACAGCTGTCTGTATGATTTCCACCAGGAAAAGGAATGAAAAGAGTCCTTCTTGTGAGTAGGATTTGCAGCAGGAGGTAGGTTATGACATTATACGTCCAAGAAGCTCATGTGTGGAAGTGTAGATGCTCACAGAAGTCTGAGGCTGTAGCTCCTGAAAATAGAAAAATGTCCACTTTTTTTTTTCTCCTTCTTTATCTTCACAAGTTTGACTAAATTATGAAATGTGGTTAAAATAGGTTGCTATTTTTTTCCAATCTTGATATATTTTTCTTCAAATTTCTGTATGCAAGGAAGGAATTTTGCCTTCTTGATTAGCTTTGTGGTTTGGGCTTATGCACCACATTGAATGAAGCTAAATCTAACCCAGTATTTTTTTCAGTCAAAGCACCCCTTTAAAATTCTGCTTAATCTCGAAACACCTCACCCTAAAATGTAAAACAAATATAACACAGCAACATCTACACACATAGGGCACCCAAAATTAAAGGTGATCTATACTTCCAAAGCAAATACACCTTTAGACACTGGTACTGACTAGCATTCCAGTGTTTCTCTTCTCTGTTTCTCTCCCTCACACCCGCTAATGTGACCGCAGTGCTGACTGAGAGAGGCAGGGTAGGGGCAAACAAGGATGCTGTGCAAGTGCCCGATGTCCTCCTTATAAACCTATGACATCATCGGTTGTTACTGGTGTCTAGAAGGTTTTAATGGTGCAAAATTAAAACCTGTGGTTATCCGCCCGCTGGCTTGTATACAGTTATCGGGCATTTTTAACTGCTTCCCATCTGCCCTATAGCAGTAATACTGTTACAGGGCGGCACAGGTGTGCAAAATCGCGCGTGTGTGTATGCATGTGTGATGTGTGTGTGTATATATATATATTATATATATATATATATATATATATACACACACAGTGGGGCAAAAAAGTATCCTCAACTATGAGAGACAAAATGAGAAAAAAAAATCCAGACAATCACATTGGCTGATTTGGAAAGAATTTATTTGCAAATTATGGTGGAAAATAAGTATTTGGTCACCTACAAACAAGCAAGATTTCTGGCTCTCACAGACCTGTACCTTCTTCTTTAAGAGGCTCCTCTGTCCTGCACTCATTACCTGTATCAATGGCACCTGTTTGAACTTGTTCTCAATATAAAAGACACTTGTCCACAACCTCAAACAGTCACACTCCAAACTCCACTATGGTGAAGACTAAAGAGCTGTCAAAGGACACCAGAAACAAAATTGTAGACCTGCACCAGGCTGGGAAGACTGAATCTGCAATAGGCAAGCAGCTTGGTGTGAACAAATCAACTGTGGGAGCAATAATTAGAAAATGGAAGACATACAAGACCACTGATAATCTCGCTCGATCTGGGGCTCCACGCAAGATCTCACTCCGTGGGATCAAAATGATCACAAGAACGGTGAGCAAAAATCCCAGGACCACACGGGGGGACCTAGTGAATGACCTGCAGAGAGCTGGGACCAACGTAACAAAGGCTACCATCAGTAACACACTACGCCGCCAGGGACTCAGATCTTGCAGTGCCAGATGTGTCCCCCTGCTTAAGCAAGTACTTGTCCGGGCCCGTCTGAAGTTTGCTAGAGAGCATTTGGATGATCCAGAAGAGGATTGGGAGAATGTCATATGGTCAGATGAAACCAAAATAGAACTGTTTGGTAGAAACACAACTCGTCGTGTTTGGAGGAGAGAGAATGCTGAGTTGCATCCAAAGAACACCATACCTACTGTGAAGCATGGGGGTGGCAACATCATGCTTTGGGGCTGTTTCTCCGCAAAGGGACCAGGACGACTGATCCATGTACAGGATAGAATGAATGGGGCCATGTATTGTGAGATTTTGAGGGCAAACCTCCTTCCATCAGCAAGGGCATTGAAGATGAAATGTGGCTGGGTCTTCCAACATGACAATGATCCCAAACATACTGCCCGGGCAACGAAGGAGTGGCTGCGTAAGTAGCATTTCAAGGTCCTGGAGTGGCCTAGCCAGTCTCCAGATCTCATCCCCATAGAAAACCTTTGGAGGGAGTTGAAAGTCCGTGTTGCCCAACGACAGCCCCAAAACATCACTGCTCTAGAGGAGATCTGCATGGAGGAATGGGCCAACATACCAACAACAGTGTGTGCCAACCTTGTGAAGACTTACAGGAAACGTTTGACGTCTGTCATTGCCAACAAAGGATATATAACAAAGTATTGAGATGAACTTTTGATATTGACCAAATACTTATTTTCCACCATAATTTGCAAATAAATTCTTTCCAAATCAGCCAATGTGATTGTCTGGATTTTTTTTCTCATTTTGTCTCTCATAGTTGAGGTCTACCTATGATGCCAATTACAGGCCTCTCTCATCTTTTTAAGTGGGAGAACTTGCACAATTGGTGGCTGACTAAATACTTTTTTGCCCCACTGTATATATACGTATATGTGATATTGCATTACCTGATAGGGTGCGCACGTCCTAATCCGCACCGCTATTAGCGGCCTCGGCTGTCAATCATCGGGTCCCGGCCAGTGATTACTCGCCGGCACCCGGTGATTGAGGAGGATTACTGATGGAGAGAGAACTGTAAGTAAAAAATACAGTTTTCTCTAGTGGTGCACCGAAATGAAAATTCTGGTGCCGAAAACAAAAATTCAAAATGCACTTGGCCGAAAACCGAAATGCGCAGTTTTTAAAAATGAATATATATTTTTTTGGGAAAAAATACACTTTGAAAGAGGATGTTATGGTGAGTAAATAGATACTCAATATGTCCTGCTTTAGAATTTCACACGCTCGTGGAATGGCATGAAACTGCGGTACTTAAAAATCTCCATGGGTGATGCTTTAAACGTTTCTACAGGTTAGCAGTGTAAAGTTGCAGAGGAGGTCTAGTGCGAGAATTATTGCTCTTGCTCTGATGTTCGTGGTGATACCTCGTGTGTGGTTTGAACACCATTTACATATGTGAGCATGGCCTACATGTGCATTCACCACTACGTGCGAGCACGGGGGGACAGGGGCACTTTAAACTTTATTTTTTTTACATTTATTTAATTTTTTTTTTTTTGTTTGCACTGTCCCTTTAAAAAAAATTTTTAATCATTTTTATTCTTATCACAAGAAATGCTTGCATCCCTTGGATAGAAATAATTAGTGACAGGTCCTCTTTATGGAGAGATATGGGGTCAATAAGACCCCACATTTCTCCTCTGCAATGTAAAGCATTGGATCAAAAAAAAAAAAAAAAAAAAGCATTGATCTAGTGCTTTAAAAAAAGTCAGGAACCGGAAGTGACATCGCTCCGGTCCTCCGAGGGCATAGAGTGTGTGGAGGCCATCTTTCCTTCACTCACCTCTATGCCCAGCGCCGGGATCTTTTGATGGGTTCTCGGGTAAGGCTGAGAAGTACCGGGTGACGGTGGGTGGGGCGGCGGCGGCGAGGGTCGGGGTTTTTTCGGCACCTGTATCGTTTTTTTTTTTTTTTTTTTTTCCGCCGACAGCCAAAAGGGGTGTTTTCGGCCACCGAAATTTTTTGGTGCATCCCTAGTTCTCTCCCCTGTCAGCTCCTGCACACTGCTATGTATGGCTTTGCATAGCAGAGCCATGCATAGCAGTGTGCTTATAGTGAAGCGCACACAGTAAAACAGCACACAGTTAACCCTTTGATCGCCCCACATGTTAAACCCCTTCCTGCCCAGTGCCATCAGTACAGTGTCAGTGCTTTTTATTAGCACTGATCTCTGTATTGGTGTCACTGGGAATGTCAGTGAAACCAAGTCAGTTCCCCCCATTGTCAGAATGCCCGTTGCAGTCCCGCTATAAGTTGCTGTTCACCGCCATTACTAGTAAAATTTAAAAAAAATCCCACTATATACACCTATTTATAAATGCTATAACATTCACGCAAACCAATTAATTTACACATATTGGGATTTTTTTTTTTAGCAAAGATATGTAGCAGAATACTTTTTGACTGAAATTTGACAAAATTTGATTTTTTTTTCTTTTTTCTGGACATGTTTAATAGCAAAAAGTCAAAAATACTGTTTTTTTTTTTCCTCAAAATTGTCTTTTTTTTTTAAATAAAAACCGCAGAGGCGATCAAATACCACCAAAGAAAAGCTCAATTTGTGGGGAAAAAAGGAGATAAATTTCATTTGGGTGCAGCGCTGCATGGCCACACAATTGTCAAAGTAACGCAGCGCCATAACGCAAACAATGGCCTGGTCAGGAAGAGGGGTAAATCCTCTGGATGGCAAGTGGTTAAGGCATTTTACCAAGGCACCCCTGGGGACACCAGGAGGCACCCTGGTTGAAAAAGTCTGATCGAACCCATGATTAGAGCCCTTTCCTGAAGCAATAGAAATTGCATGCAATATTCTTTGCTGGTGAAACACAGTATACCAGCTATTTGAACATAGTCCTACTTGCATTTGCTATATTTTTTAAGATTTAACTTGCTGAAAAAAGCAAATGTAGACAGCAGCATGATGCCTTCCTCTCCAGCTGTATAGACTGTAGAAGTACCATTGCAGCCAGTGTTTTGATTCCTGTGGTCTTATTGGATCTCCAGGTAGCTATTCAGGAAACCCAGGAGATGATGTCTGAATCTGAAAACTCTGCTACACCATCCCAGGATGACAGCCAGCAAGCATTTTTAGAGAAAGAACTGCCTCATCATAATTCACAAAATATACAGCAAGAGGTATTGTTTTCAAAGTTTATTAGAGTCTTAACTGTTTGTTGCCTAGACTGGAATTCCTTGCAAACAACCATATAGATGTTATTTCACTGTAATCAAGACTGTAGAATAAAATTGGTTTATATGTTTTTTTTAATGTACTCTTTGAACCTGTTAATGCGCTTTTGGGAACTAGAAGGAAAAAAAGATACATATTTATTTACATATTTATTTAAATCATTGTGTTGTAGTACACCAGCACACATACAAACTTATTTTAATAGTAGTAACCATATGCATGTCTGGTGAATGCATATATCTGCTCTGTCAGTGTTGAATGCTAAGTTCTTTGTTAAAATGGTGTATTAAAGCTAAAATCAGAAATGTAATATTGCACTGTACCAATCATTAGATGTGGTTGCATTAGTTTTTGATTTTCCTATCTGTTTTCACATGGTGGTCTAACCAGTAACACCTTTCTGTGTTAAAGTGCCCCCACTCTGGATGAAGGAGCAGCAGAAATACCTTTGGACAGCAGCATTGTCATTCTGAGGGAGGAGAGTGTTAAGCTGGCCATACACATGTAGATTTTCGTTTGAGAATTTTTGTTTCAAGAATATCCCTTTGATTTTCTAATTGTTAGTGGGGTCAGATCAATGTTTGTTTTTGACAGTAGTGACGGGAAAATTCGAAGGGGCAGGAAGGAAAACTTTTCTCGATCAAACGAATGTTTGGCCAGTATATGTGGTTATCTTTCAGAAATTACATTCATTTTAATCCTCATGCACACTGGATGTTTTTACAGCTGCTGTTTTTGGCTTTTGAGGTTTTTTTCTACAGCCAGTAAACTCCCCAGCATGTTATCCTATGTGTCCATGCGCACACAGACTGTAATCAGTGTTTTTTGGTTGGAAAAAAACCCAGAACTAGTGAGTTTCTAGAGGAGTTTTTTTAGCTGTAAAAATGCTCTAACGCTGAAAAACGTGGGAAATCGCGGCAAACCAGCATTTTTGGACTTTTTTTTTTAGTAAAAAAAAAACCCTACAAAAAATGTGGCTAAATGCTAATGCAAAAATGCTAAAAACCACTGAAAAACTCACATTTTTAATGTGACTTTACAAAGCTAATGTTACCAGCGTTATTAAAACGCCCCGTGTGCATGAAGCCTTAAACTCAAATGTTAAAAGCAAAAAGACAATTTTCGAACGACATTTATTCATTCACTGAATGTTCAAAGCATTTTCATACGAATATTCTCTTCCAAAAATCTACATGGGTATGGCCAGCTTTAGATGCACTAGCAGATTAAGATACATAAAAAAAATTGAAGCCAGCTTTTTAAGCTCAGTGCAGTTACACAAGCAGTTACAGCAACAGTTATTTTCCTTTTGGGATAGAGGTTTTATATAAATAAATAAATCTAATCGTAAGCGCCCCCATCTATGTTGAATTGTTTGTCTTAACACCCTAATTGCTACATCTGCAGAACAGCTTGTTCTGTTGAAAAACATAAGACTTACTAGCTAGATCACCAGGTGAAAATAAAAGAAAGACTAAAAAAAGAAAATGCAGTCATCACATCTGGTAAGCTGATATGTAGTAAATGTTTTCTTTTGGGTTAAATACTGCTTTAAATGCAGTGCTTTGTGAGTTTTCCGTAATAATATGTGTATGTTAAGAAGCTGCTTATTCTGTGATTCACAACATTTTAGATAGTTCACCATCTTTAATATATATACTGGCAAGCAAATAAATTACATATATGTTATTTATGATTATATTTATTTGCATCAGATAGCAAAACATAAATTAAGTATTTTAATTGGTGTAGTATGGTAGATTACACAGATCAAAGGCTAACTAATCCTTCATCAACATGTTCCATGCTCATTCACACCCAAAGCGACCCTCTCATAACAGTGTGCCAACAGCTGTCAAATTGGAAATTGGCAGGGCCCCACACAGCTGCATCACTCACAGGTATCTGTGATGGAACAAGTCTTGCTTGTGACAGCGGCAGGCAGACTTAGTTCCCGTCTGCCACCACGGCAGATGGACAAAAAACAAGCGCAGCGATCACCATACTTATAGCCCATTGACAGTTCCTCGAGCTCTTGGACTAAAAGCCCATAAAAAGATACAGGCATGGATCTGGAGGAAGAACTTGCAGGAGCCCGGCATTGCACCCACAATACACTTGATTGTGGGGCAATGTATTTCAGGTTCCTATGTAAAAATAAATTATAAAAGCACATTTTTGCCCTGCAAAAATATGTGAATTGTATTTTTTTTTATACAGGTGAACTTAGCCTTTCAAGTATAACTAAAGGTTAGCTAGTTTTGGATAGAGTGCAGAGGGATTAGAGCACCTGTCAGTTATTATTGCTGTTTGTGCCCCCATTAAAGAGATTCAACCTCTCTATTTGTCCTGGTTACCATTATCATTGAAAGTGAAAGAAAATCCCAAACTTTAGGTTGTCCCCAGAAAAGGAATAAGAGGAGAAATCTTCCAATGTGGACACTAGTTATGGTGACCTGGGGGTCCCCTAAGGATTTCCTCTCACTTCCTGTTTGGCTATGGAACAAGAAGTGAAGGGAAATCTCTGCAATGGGACAAGGATGGTAAAAAAAAAAAAAAATCTGACAGTGGTTTATAACCCTCCCTTGCTCTATCCAAAAAGCAAAATTGCCTGAAGTTCTACTTTAATGTCGTGTTTGGTAATAAGGTCCAGTTTCTTATTGCACTGAGTACTAGTCAAGGGACTAAAATGTATCAACATTATGTGTATAAATATATATTGAATTGTCTCTTTTAAGGATATGGATATTGAAGAAATACAAGATGTAACTGAGGAGATGTTTGAAAAGGAAGAAAAGAAGATTGTAAAAGATGAAAAGCCAAGGGCTCGCTCCAAATCACGATCAAGGTTTCATACTTTACATCATTGCACCATAGAAATCAAAGTGTTTGGATAAATTGAGTCTTAAATTAAAATGAGAGCTTGTAATGAAAGCAGTAGGCACTAATCCAAGTGATAATTGCGCAGTAATGCAATGCTGTACCCAAACAAAATTTACGTCTTTTTTTTCACACAAATAGAGCTCTCTTTTGGTGGTATTCGATCACCTGTGCTCTTTTTATTTTTCGCGCTAAGCAAAAAGAGACCGAAAATTTTGAAGAAAAACTATTTTTTACTTTCGGCTATAAAAAATATATAGTAAACTCAAAGATAGTAGTTATAAATTTAGGCCAAAATGTATTCTGCTACATTTTTGGTAAAAAATAACCCCAATAAGTGTATATTGATTGCTTTGTGTGAAAGTTATAGCGTTTACAAACTATGGTATAGATACTGCAATTTACGCCATTTTTTTGCTTTACAGCGCTGCACTAGTTTAACTGACAATTGCGCGGTCATGCAATATGGTACATAAATGAAATTTACGTCCTTTATTTCACACAAATAGAACTTTCTTTTGGTGGTATTTGATCACCTGTGCACTTTTTATTTTTGGCGCTATAAACAAAAAAGTTTCGGGGAAAAAAAAACTAAAATGTCATAAATTTAGGCCAAAATGTACTCTGCTACATGTTTTTGGTTAAAGAAATCCCAAAAAGTGTATATTGATTGCTTTGTGTGAAAGTTATAGCATCAACAAACTATGGTATAGATAATGGAATTTACACAGCTTTTACTTTCTGACTGCTCATCACATTTCTTGAGGTGCTAAAATACCAGGACAGTACAAACACCCCGAAATGACTCCTTTTCGGAAAGTAGACACCCTAAGCTATCTGCTGAGAGGCATATTGAGTCCATGGAAGATTTATTTTTTTCCACAAGTTTTTGGAAAATGACAAAAACATTTTTTTATTTTTTTTTATACACAAAGTTGTCATTTAAATTATATATTTCTTACACAAGCCATGGGTATATTCTTACTCCCCAGAATACATTCTGTGGCTTCTACCGAGACACTGACATCCTCAGTGACACCAATACTATGATCAGAGCTAAAAAAAAAAAAAAAAAGCACTGACACTGTACTAATGACACTGGGCAGGAATGAGTTAACATGAGGGGCAATCAAAGGGTTAACTGTGATGGGAGTGTTTTACTAGGGGGCGGACGGGGGGGATGTGTGCTTCACTGTAAGCACACTGGTTTGGATGGCTCTGCTCAGCTATCCAGAGCAGTATGCCCAAACTGACACGGAGGAGGGCTGTTGGTAAACAATGCAGCCCTCCTCCCTGTCGGTGATTGCTGGTAATTACCGGGAATCGGCGGGTAATCCTAGATTGTAAGCTCTAATGAGCAGGGCCCTCTGTTTCCTCTTGTACCAAATTGTATTGTAACTGTAATGTCTACCTTAATTTTGTAAAGCGCTGCGCACACTGTTGGCGCTGTGTAAATCCTGTATAATAATAATAATCACCGGCTGGGACCTGGTGATTGAGACCCGGGGCCGTGATCGGTGGCGCTGGTAGGGCTTCCACGCCCCTACCAGGAAATGTAGACTCACATATATATACGTGATCCTGCGCACAGGTGCCGCCCTGTAGCAGTAAATCTACTATTGGATGGTCTTTAAGCGGTTAAAACACACTTTCCCTGGGCGTCATTCCTATAAAAGTACTCCACCCCATAAGTCCTCAGTTTTGCGCTAGTGTCTAAGAGTGATGGACCTTTTCTCCTTCATGGAGAAACTCACTTATGAAAAAAAAACAGGGCTGTGTTTGGAATGTATTCAAACTTGGTGTTAAAATTCAGCCACTCAGAGCTTAGTCCCAGGTGGATGACCAGGTGTTACATCACACCACTGTTCGCATATTTTAACCAGTTTCCCTCTGCCATATGCAGTTTAACTGCTACGGGGGAAAACTCCCTGCGCAAAACTACGTATGTATGTGTGTGTACACACACACACACGCACACGTGACGTGATCCGTGCTTCTGCCGTGTTCGTATATTCTAATGGTGGGCATACCACACACTTTTTCTGGCAGAGATTTCTTCTCTTTTTTTCATTCAGCCCATAGGCTGCATAACAAAAAAAAAAAAAAAAAAAAAACATAACATATATGCCCAACAAGGACTGGCGATGTACTGGTACATCGTTGGACTTTGAGTTGTTATACAGTTAGGTCCATTTATATTTGGACACAGGCACAATTTTAGTTTTTTTCAGGTATTTACCAAAACATATTCACGCTATAGTTATATAATTGATATGGACTGAAAGTGCACACTCTCAGGTTTAAGTTGAGGGTATGTACATCCAAATTGGAGGAAGGTTTATGAATTGCAGCTCTTAAGAGTAGCTATCCCCCCTTTTTCAAGGGACCAAAAGTAATTGGACAATTGAATCAAAAGCAGATTCATGGCCAGGTGTGGGCTACTCCTTCGTTATTTCTTCATCAGTTAAGCAGGTAAAAGGTCTGGAGTTGATTCTAAGTGTGGTATTTGCATTTGGAATCTATTGCTGTGAACCTACATCATGCTTTCAAAGGAGCTGTCCATGCAAGTGAAACAGGCCATTGTAAGGCTTCAAAAACAAAATCCATCAGAGAGATAGCAGCAACATTAGGAGTTGCCAAATCAACAGTTTGGTATATTCTAAGGAAAGAAGAACGCACTGGTGATCTCAGCAACATAAAAAGGCATGGACGTCCACGGAAGACAACAGTGGTAGATGATCGCAGAATCCTCTCTGTGGTAAAGAAAAACCCATTCATAACATCCAGACAAGGGAAGGACACTCTCCAAAGTCTTATGATCATGATCAAGAGAAGACTTCACGAGAGCAAATACAGAGGGTTCACCACAAAGTGCAAACCATTCATAAGCCTGAAGAATAGAAAAGCCAGATTAGACGTTGCTATAAAAACATCTAAAAAAGCCAGACCAGTTCTGGAAAAGCATTCTTTGGACAGATGAAACTAAGATTAATCTATACCAGAATGACTGGAAGAAAAAAGTGTGGAGAAGGCTTGGAACAGCTCATGATCCAAAGCACACAACGTCATCTGTAAAACATGGTGGAGGCAGTGTGATGGAATGGGCATGCATGACTTCCAGTGGCACTGGGTCATTGGTGTTTATTGATGATGTGACAGAATACGGAAGCAGCCGGATGAATTCTGCAGTGTTTAGAGATATACTGTCAGCCCAGATTCAGCCAAATGCAGCAAAGTTGATTGGATGGTGCTTTACAGTACAGATGGACTATGATCCAAAACACACTGCAAAAGCAACCCAGGAGCTTTTGAAGGAAAAAAAGTGTAATATTCTGCAATGACCGAGTCAATCACCTGATCCCAACCCTATTGAGCATGCATTTCACTTGTGAAGGCAAAACTAAAGGCAGAAAGACCCACAAACAAAGAACAACTGAAGACAGCTGCAGTTAGAGCCTGGCATCAGAAAGGAGGAAACCCAGTCTTTGGTAATGTCCATGGGTTCCAGACTTCAGGCAGTCATTGCCAGTAAAGGATTCTCAAAATTATTAAAAATGAACATTTTTATTTATGGTTATATTCATTTGTCCAATTACATTTGAGCCCCTGAAAATGGAGGGACTGTGTAAAAAAATTTGTACTTGATATTTATGTTTTTACAGCTGCTGTTTTTGGCTTTTGACGGGTTTTTTTTTCTACAGCCAGTAAACTCCCCAGCATGCTATCCTATGTGTCCATGCACACATAGACTGTAATCAACGTTTTTTGGCAGGGAAAAAAAACAGAACTAGTGGGTTTCAAAACGTCAAAAGCCAAAAACAGCAGCTGTAAAAACATTCAGTGTGCATGAGGACTGATGGGCAGTCAGAAAGTAAAAGCTATGTAAATTCCAGTCTCTATTCCATAGTTTGTAAGCGCTATAGCTTTCACACAAACCAATTTAATATACACCTATTGGGATTTTTTTTTTTTTTTTTTTTACCAAAGACATGTATCAAAATACATTTTGCTCTAAATTTATGACAAAATTTATTGGATATTTTTATAACTGAAATTAGAAAATAAAGTTTTTTTTCAACATTTTTGGTCTTTTTTTGTTTATAGCTCAAAAAATTAAAAACCCAGTGGTGATCAAATACCACCAAAAGAAAGCTCTATTTTTGTGGAAAAAAAGGATATCAATTTTGTTTGGGTACAGCGTTGCATGACTGCACAGTTACCAGTTGAACTAGCACATCACCGAATAGCAAATAATGGCCTGGTCAGGAATGGGGGTAAATCTTCTGGAGGGCAAGAGCCCTTACAAGGTATTCGGGCGCTTCCACCACTCTTTTGCTGCAAGAATTCGCACCCTATTCCGTGTGTGCTCTCACTTGTAGCTATAATGGAAACCAATGGAAAGGGGGCCAATGCAAAATCACTGGCAAACATTTGCTCTGCCGAAGGCCTGCACAACATTCAGCCTCAGAGTGATGATGTGTTCTTTTCACCACAGCAACAATCGGTTCTAACATTGGTCTCAGCATCCGATTCTGTTTCTATTTCGGGCAAACAGCGAAACTGGAGATAGCTGGAATCAGGAGGGATTTTATGAGCTATCCAAAGTACTGTTTGCCAGTGTCAAGTCACATGCAGGTGGCTGCATATAACCCAGTGTCTTTGACTAATGGTAGTAATAAAAACCTTTGTTTCCATTTTTACTCCAAAAAGATCACCCAGGAAAAGACGTTCAAGATCTCGATCTGGATCAAGGAAACGCAAGCATAGAAAACGTTCTCGGTCAAAGTCAAGAGAAAGAAAGCGAAAGACCTCACGCTCATATTCAAGTGAAAGAAGAGCCCGAGAACGAGAAAAAGAGCGACAGAAAAAGGGTCTGCCTCCTATTCGCTCCAAAACACTAAGTGGTATGCATACAATTTTTTAGATGTAGTGACGTTGTAAAATATTCTGCAAATCGCAAATGTAGTTGCATGCCAATTTAAATTGTAAAACAATTTTTTTTTAATACGTGATTTTGAACATTCTCAGTGTGCAGTACTACACTCTGGGTTGGACAGGTTGACAAAAAGGCAACACAGCAAGATTTGACTAATGTGTTTGAAGAATTCGGACAGATTGAATCTATTAATGTAAGTGAAACACTTTCCAATTGTTGGCAAAAAATTGCATTTAGTTCAACTTTAAGAAACATATTTTAGAAGTCATTGACAGTCTGGCAGGTATAGTGTGCAGAAAGTGGTACTTTAATATTTGGGCTCTATACAAAAATGAGGTAGTATAATTCTGTTCTACATTGTGGCATATCAAGGTGACTTGCAAAGGGTTCAGCCAATGTGTGTCTCTTGCTAATATATTCAAATTTACTAGAAATGCATAATAAAATATTCTGTACTCTGAACTGTTCACAGATGATTCCACCTCGAGGCTGTGCCTATGTTTGTATGGTTCACAGACAAGATGCATTCAGAGCTCTTCAGAAGCTTAGTGCCGGCTCGTGTAAGATCGGATCGAAAGTCATCAAGGTATTCTTTTGCTAAACGTCATTAGAATAGAGTAGAGGGCCTTTATTGTCATTGTAAAAAAAACAATCTGAATATAGAAAAGTTTAATTGCCACACTTAGAAGAATGCTTTACACATATATAAAACAATATAACAACACACAAAATAAATAATCATTCCAAAAATAATAAATATAAACATCCAAAAAAAAAAGCATTAAAATGTACTTCCAGCTTTCGCTACTGCACAAAATCTGTGTAAACAGATGTTGCAGACTAGATTTAATATTTACACTAATTGTATTTATAGCCCTTGGAAAAAAAACTAAATCTCTAAATCTAGTCAGCTGCAGCCTAAATGTTAAGTTCACCTTTAAAAAAAATAAATGCACATCTTTTTGCAGGTAAAAAAATGTGCAATTGTTATTTTTTTTATTAGCAGCTTCTAAAGCAATGCAAGGCTCCTGCAGACTGTCAAGGTAGCCGACTGCTTGTGCCTTGTACAGGCAGGCAGTTAGACAGTGACAGGAATCATCCATGAAACTACCTAGATTGCTCACCAATATCCTGGTAGTTCATTAAGAACTGCAAGCTGTCAACCACAAATGCTGTCAGTAGTTGTAGTTTTCTCATACACAGAATTCTGTGAATAAATGAGCCCCAGCCAACCAGGGTTTTTTTTTTTTTTTTTTTTTTTAAATTATGACAGCACGCTTGGGGAGAAGATCCCTGGCTCAATGCCACTAAATGCGGTGGATTGAGGAGAGGCTGCAGCAGTGGGAAGATGTTACATGTTCCACTGTAAAAACAGGTGGAACATGTAACCTCTTCCCAAAGGTGAACTTATCCTTTAATGTTTCTAAAATGCTTACCCAACTGCATCAGTTAACCATCGGTGGCATCAAAAACCGTTGAGTCTTGCTTTTACTTCCCATTTTTGTGCAGCTTTCTAAAATGTTGCAAGGTGGTGAGTAAATGAAGCTGCAGGATATTTGTTTATTTAGGAATCTATTTCCTAGGCACATAGCTGCAGCTTGTGCTCCTCTCCCAGCAGTTGAAAGTTCATTTGATAAGGGCCCGTTCACACCATCTGTTTGCGGTAAGGCTTAATACTTTTTTTTGACAGGGAACGGCATTTGTTTTGCCAACACAATTATTATGTGTTACATTAACGTGTTTTACTTCAAATAGATACCGTAAACCCCAAAAATTGCAAGTTAATTCATAAAGGTTCAGTTTGGACAGCAGTCTTGATCGAGAAGTGAATGATTCAGAAACTTATCAGCAGACATTTAAACTCTTGGTGATATAAAGACCAATGTTTCCTAGCCTATGAGTTCTTCAATAATTCCAGAGAAGGAAACTAACAATACTCCATGGCCCCTACACATTGGCTATTATGCACAATTACATAAAATTTTAATTTCTTACTTTCTGTACAAGTCTGAGGACGTTAAGATACAAACATTAGTTATGATTAACAGTTCTTTCTTGAAATTTTTGCAATGTAACTATCTTAACTAGATAATATAGGTCTCAGGCAAAGTATTCGATGAACAACATCTTCCCTCCTCAGAGCTAGAGCCAAATGGTATGAGGTGATCCCCAACCCGCTGAAGAAGATTGGGAGGATGTTTATGGAACATATTGCATCAAGTTATTTCCTCCAAAGATCCTCTTACAACTTAAACTGTTCCATCAAACCAACTACATTCCCCAACACATGTATAGCCTAGGGATTAGAGAAACTCCCCTATGCAGGAGACGGACTTCTTGCATGCTTTGTAATTGTGTGCCCAGATTCAAAGTGTGTGAGTTTCTTGAGTTGTCTTTAGGTCTTCCAAATATTAAGTGCCCCAGGGTCTGGGTTGGTGGAAGACCACCCAGTTGGTTCCCATACCAAAAAACTGCTGCATATTCTCTATTTTTATGCCAAAAAGATTGTTGTAAGCACCTGGAAGAGATCCTTAATATTGATGAATTTGTATATGCTTATTTTAAAAAGCAGTAAACATGATCTTAAAAAAAAAAAAAGTATTCATAAAACCTGATTTATAGGCTCATAACTTCTGTTGATAAGACACTGGGAAGCGTTTGAGGAGACGTCCACTGGGCGCCATCGCTATAGTCCTACCCCATCGTACGAGTCCTATATTTTGTGCTAGTGCCCTAAGGTGATGGACTACTTCTCCTACATGGAGAAATCACTCTTAGCCTAATTAGTTTTTTTTATAGCTGGACCAAGGATCTTCTAGCACTTGCCACAGATGCCTTGATAATTCCCTGTTCTCAGTTCAGGCTGATCTACATTTTCCCTCCAGTGTGAATTGTGCCTTAACTGCTCAAAAAAAGTAGAACAAGAGAGGAAAACGATGCTTCTCATTGCACTGAGCTGGCTTAGAAGAATCTGGTACACAGACATAATCAGACTTGTAGCAGACATTTTCTTCTCATCAGATCTGATACCTCAAGGCCCTGCTTCTCAGTGTCTGGCATTAATGGCGTGGTTGTTGAAGCCACTTATGAGAAGGTGTGCTATCATACCTGGAAGTCCTTTGTTGCCTGGTGTGGACACAGGCACTTGGAACGCAGAGATTACTCTGTGCCTTGCATTCTGGCCTTCCTACAATTAGGTTAGGACCAGAACTTAAGCACTCTGAAAGGGCAGGTACTGGCCTCTGGCTTCCCTCTCCCTTGTGGAAACTTTTATTTATGGTGAAGATCACATTGAGCCCCTGTTGCAGCACCTGTGCTTCCTTGGGCTCTCAACTTGGTTCTCTCTGGTCTGCAGAAACCATTCTTTGAACCCATCATAGATATGCCCCCAGATGACCTCTTCTGCAAAATAGCCCTTTTGGTTACTGTCACATGTCACACATGTCTTTGAGTTGGTGGCTCTTACTTGTAAAGAGCCATTCCTCATACAGTACTTCACAAAGACAAGTTTGTCGTACGCCCAAGACCATCCTTTCTTACCATGGTGGTATCAGTTTTTCACCTTGATGAGTTCTACCATCCTTATGCCCTTCTCCAAAGCATCCAAAGGAAATCTTTTTGCATTGCCTGGACGAAGTCAGAGCCATTAGAGTCACCTTAAAACCACAGCTTCAATTGGACATACGGATTCCCTATTTATCCTTTCGTCAGAAAAGTTTAGTGGTTCTTAAGTTTTAAGTTAATACTAGTTTCAAGTTAATTTAACCCATGAGGTCACAAAAGATGAATCTTAAGAGCAAGAATCAATAGTATATTCTGCTGTCAATACTGTTGTGAACCTATTTTTTTTCCAGTAAACTAATTGTTTTATTTGTCTGGTTATTGATTCATTTAGATCGCTTGGGCATTAAATAAAGGTGTGAAAACAGAGTACAAGCAGTTCTGGGATGTTGATCTTGGAGTCACATATATTCCTTGGGAAAAAGTAAAACTGGATGATCTAGAAGATTTTTCAGAAGGTGGAATGATTGATCAAGAAACTGTTAATAATGGTAACACTTTAATTTTAAATTTCTAGCGAGTGGGAGATTTGATTGCAACATTGTACAATTTCTTTTAAATATGATCATGAAGCTGAACTCCAGGTAGCTGTTTAAAACGCTAGTGAATGTAGTTATGTATATTTAAAACAAATTTAAAATGCTGCTAGTGTAAATATTAATGAAATAATGTACTTAGCCTCTTCCAATAGCCTGTACAGGAGCACTTAGATCAGTAGTGGGAGGGCAGTAATAGGAGGTACTCTGACTTCCTACATGCACTTGTGCAGGCATAGAATATGCTGACAGAAGGAAAGAACAGAGAGATGACCTCATGAGTCGCTGCTTTTTTGCTGTCCAGTAACAGGCTGAATACAGGGAGGTGACCTAGCTGCTTAACTGAATTAGAGAAAAGGTTATCAGGCTTTCTGGGCTGTGTAAATTTCAAGACTTGGGGAAAGAAGGGCAAATCTTAATAACAGGTAACACAAATGCCATATATTTATTTTAATGGTGTATTTATTCGCTTGCCTGTAACTCTACTTTAATAATATCTAAGCCTCCTTTCACATATGTGTGACTCTGCATGTCGCGTGTGCACAGGCACAGCAGCACATTCATTTGCTTTCTTCAGGGAACTGGTCCCTTTTTTTAAAACGCATCTGCATGAAAATTGCATGGTGCTTTTGCACCATGCAATTTCTTTGTGCAGGAAACCACACTGCGTTTTTCAGTGGGTTGGAGTGACAATAATAGTTAATGACACCCCTGTGCATTTTGTGTGCAGGTGTATACAGGTGCAGTAGTGCGTGCAATTTACAAGCACCCCCACACCTGCATATACACTATATTGGCAATAATATTCGGACGCCTGCCTTTACACGCACATGAACTTTAATAGCATCCCAGTCTCAGTCCTTAAGGTTCAATATTGATTTGGCTCACCCTTTGCAACTATAATAGCTTCAGCTCTTCTGGGAAGGCTGTCCACATGGTTTAGAAGCGTGTCTATGGGAATGTTTGACCATTTCTTCCAGAAGCACACTTTTGAGGTCAGGCACTGATGTCGGACAAGAAGGCCTGGCACGCAGTCTCTGCTCTTAATTCATCCAAAAGGTGTTCTGTCAGGTTGAGGTCAGGATTCTGTACAGGCCAGTCAAGTTCCTCCACCCCAAACTCGCTCATCTATGTCTTTATGGACCTTGATTTTTGCACTGGTGCGGAGTCATGTTCCGGAAGGGGCTGTTCTCACAAAGTTGGGAGCATGAAATTGTCCAAAATGTCTTGGTATGCTGACACCTTAAGGGTTCCCTTCACTAGAATTATGGGGCCAAGTCCAACCCCTAAAAAATAACCCCACACCATAATCCCCCCCTCCACCAAACTTTACACTTGGCACAGTGCAGTTAGGCAAGTACCGTTCTCCTGGCAACTGCCAAACCTAGACATGTCCATCAGATTGCCAGATAGAGAAGCGTGATTGGTCACTCCAAAGAACACGTCTCCACTGCTCTAGAGTCCAGTGGTGGCGTGCTTTACACCACTGCATCCGACTCTATGCTTTGCACTTGGCGATATAAGGCTTGGATGCAGCTGCTCGGCCATGAAAACCCATTCCGTGAAGCTCTCTACGCACTGTTGTGATAATCTGAAGGCCACACGAAGTTTGGAGGTCTTTAGCTATTGACTCTGCAGACAGTTGGTGACTTCTGCTAACTGTTGCACTTCAGCATGCAATGGCCCGCTCTGTCATTTTACCTGGCCTACTACTTCGTAGCTGAGTTGCTTTTGTTCCCAGTTGCTTCCACTTTGTTATAATACTACTAACAGTTGACCGTGGAATATTTAGCAGCAATGAAATTTCACGGATGGACTTATTGTACAGGTGGCAACCTATCACAGTAACACACTTGAATTCACTGAGCTCCTTAGAGCGACCCATTCTTTCACAAATGTTTGTAGAAGCAGTCTGCATGCCTAGGTGCTTGATTTTATATACCTGTGGCTATAGAGGTGATTGGAACACCTGAATCCAATGATTTGGACAGTTGTCCCAATACTTTTGGCAATATAGTGTATGTGAATGTAGCCTAAAGCATACATTATGTAGCAAGAAACGTGATTTAGTTTGCTTAAAGTGGTTTTATAGGCTAAGCATTTTTTACCTTAATATATTTTCTGCATTAAGGTAAAAAACATTTATGTGCAGCTACCCAGATTCCACAACCCTTCACCCTCTCTGAGCCCCCCACCTCTCAAAATACTTACTGGAGTCCTGTCTCGATCCAGCACTGTGACCAAAAGTAGCAGCGTTGCTAACTCTCCTCCTTCACTGGACACAGTAATGTGGGGGTGGGGACAGGGATAAAGCCATCACATGTTCTACCATAAGAAGCAGCTTCCAGTGGTGGCACACGGAGAAGAGGCGGAGCCCAGAGCGCCAACTGGGGAGCCCGAAGAGGAGGATTGGGGCTGCTCTGTGCAAAACCATTGCACAGAGCAGGTAAGTATAACATGTTTGTTAGAAAAAATAAATAAAATTGAACCTTTACAATCACTTTGGTGCATTTACTAGAGTCTGTGTCTTACTCCTACTAGGGGTATGTGTTTGTAACTTTGCTCCTAATACACTTCAAGCTCATTTTAACATAATAAAATGTGATTTCTGTTTCACATATTATAGACTGGGCAAATCAAAGAAATGCAGAACCTACTGTAACTAAGGAGCCCGTTTCTGTACCACCTCCCACTACTACTGTGCAGAGTCCAGTTATTCCAAAATCCACCATAATAACAACGCAAACAGAGGCATATACTCAGCCTGTTGCAATGCTCCAGGTAACTATTTTTACTAAAATAAGTGGATAATGTAATTTTGTGAATATACAGTTACTGTTTTTTATTTATTTTTAAGTTGTAATGAGTTATATCAAAGTTCAAACATATTAAACACTAGTATCATTTATTCATGTACTAGTAACTGTTGTATTAACCTGTATATTTGTTTATCAAACACAGTTACCATACATACATGCTGTTATTATCTTTGGTAGAAGAGTAGTTCCTTTGCTTGTTAGTGTTATCTTATTATGCCTATGAGCCTCTATTGCGGAGACATTTTTCTTCTACATCAGACTTAGGCAACCTTAAAAAAGTGCAGATATACCTGAACAAAACGGGAGAAGTAAACGATCACCGGGCACAGTGTCGCCTCCTCACACCTGATTTAAACCTCTAATCACAATACTACCATGCAATCATGGGTTTAAATCAGGTGGTGAGGAGTCAACATGTCACCTCCTCACCACCTGTCAAACACGCTTGAATCGCTTTTCAGAGGAGCAGCAGTGCCTGCTGCACTTTTGAATGAGCCATTAGTTGTATTCGGCAGCGGCACCCTTAGGGCTCATTCACACGAACAGTCTGGGGTTGGTAAAACCTGAGGTTTAGTTGTGGTTGTACTGCCCACAAACCCCTACCCCCTTTAACTTCTGAGATTGCAGCCAAATGTGTACACATGCTACAGCAGGAATTAAGCTCCCTGCTACTTTTGGTGGCTGCTACCAGCTGCCAAGCGCGACCCATTCAAGTAAATGGGGCCACTCTGCAAGCGCCCCCCAACTGCATGCTTCTGCGGGGTCCAAGGGATTAAAGTAGGTGGTGAGAAAGCAACACAGTGCTGCCTGCTTTAACCCCATGTTTGCTGGACTGCACAAGGTTGCAGGGCGACCTCATTCACTTGAGTGGGTCATACTTGGCAGGTGCTACTGCCACCAACCATGACAGGGTGTATGACTCCTGCTGCAGCTGCGACATGTGTACTCCCCTGACTACTGCAGCTAAAGGGGTGCTATTGTGGTTTGGGGGTGGTAAAGACACAGCTTAACTATGGGGCTTTACCACCCCTAAAACTGCAAATGTAAATGAACCCTGCTTTGAGCCCCCTATAAAGCTGCTTTCACACTGATATGCTGTGCTTTACCTGCACTGTGGGTGCAGTGCATCTACGACTTTCCAAGGTTAGCTGTGCTTTACTATAGACTTCTATTATATCCTGCAGGTGTGGTTCGGCTTCTGTAAGCACACCAAAACTCCTGCACTCAGGAGTTTTGGTGCGCTTTCAGAAAGTGCACCAAACCCGCAGGATATAACAGAAGTCTACTGCTAAGCTTAGCAAACCCGCAGGAAAGCTACAGGTACACTGCACTGCATATGTGGCGTGTAAACTGCAGCACATCATTGTGAAAGCAGCCCTATACTATTATGCCCAGTGTATTGCTTCACACTGACCTGAAGATCTCTTCTTTCCTGCTGCTGGCACCATTCGGGAGACCGCTATCCAGGATAAGAGGTGGAGTGCAGTTGGTATCATTCCGCATGGGACAGGAGCCGGCATCGGCTTATGCAGCTCTTGTTCCCAACTACAGCTCCACCTTTACAATCCCTCTGCATTGCACTCTGCTTGATGCTTTGAGATGGCGGGTCAGCAAGCCCAGACCGCGGTAGATCTACCGGTGGTAAATCGCAAGCTACTGGTTGCTGACCCCCTCTCTACAGCATAAAGACTGCCAGAAATTTTGATTTGGACAAAATAACTAATATTGAATTAGCATATATTTCCTAATCTGCAAACATACTAGAATACTGGTTTTCTCTGAATACCATATCCACTAGACAGAACACTAGACATATAGCACAAATGAACATGAGAGTACTTGAGCAATTCGGCAGGGGACAAGTGGGTAGCATTCTCGCCTTTTAATTCTTGTAGGACAGAAGAGAGTGGGGGTGCAACCAGGTGGATGGGAGGATGGAGCCAGAAGGACAGAAGAGAGGGGGGATGCAGTCAGGTGGAGGGAGGATGGAGCCAGGAGGACAGAAGAGAGGGGGATGCAGCCAGGTGAAGGGAGGATGGAGCCAGGAGGACAGAAGAGAGCAGGGATGCAGTCAGGTGGAGGGAGGATGGAGCCAGGAGGACAGAAGAGAGGGGGATGCAGCCAGGTGAAGGGAGGATGGAGCCAGGAGGACAGAAGAGAGCAGGGATGCAGCCAAGTGGAGGGGAGGATGGAGCCAGAAGGACAGAAGAGAGCAGGGATGTAGCCAGGTGGAGGGGAGGACAGAGCCAGGAGGACAGAAGAGAGCAGGGATGTAGCCAGGTGAAGGGGAGGGGAGGACAGAGCCAGGAGGACAGAAGAGAGCAGGGATGCAGCCAGGTGGAGGGGAGAATGTAGACAGGAGGACAGAAGAGAGGGGGAATGCAGCCAGGTGGAGGGAGGACGGAGCCAGGAGAACAGAAGAGATGGGGGATTCAGCCAGGTTGAGGGAGTACAGAGCTTTAATATCATTACTAGCGCTCCCTTTCTCTCTAACTCCCTCCACTTGTCAGTCAGCAGCAGTGGCAGTCCCTATGCCGAGATCAGATGGGGTCTCCTCACAGGCTGTGCGTCACAGCTCACACAGCGGAGACCTCCTTCAACTTCTTCCCCTTCACAATCACGGGTCAGCTGATCACTGGTTTCCACCTCCCCTGCCCTGACGTGAGCTTAATGGGCAGCCAGACAGCCACGAAGAGGTTGAGTGAGTGGCGCAGGCTCAAGGGCGCAGCTCAGCTTTGGGCCCCACAAGAAAATGCGGCCCTGGCAATTCCCGGGCAAATTCCCGGTTTGCCCTATGGCCAGTCTGGGCCTGTTTGAAGGGTAAGGTCCCACCCTTTTGGGTGAGAGCGCACACTACCAGGAGTGTTGGGACATATTGAGTGATCTGCCATCAGGCATCAGTTGGTCAGATTTGCAGGCCGCTACTTGGGCTTCAGTTCACACGTTCACAAGGTGGATGTGAGAGCTACAGAGGACTCTGCCTTTGGCCACAGCGTCTTGAGAACGGCTGAATAGTTTTTGGGATTGTTGGTGGTGGCAATCATGGTGTCACCCTCCCCTCAAAATTTCTTTGGGACATCCCACATAGTCACGAATAGCCTGCTCCGTGTCCAGTGATGTACGATAAAGAAAATTGGATTTTTTTTTTTTTCATACATGCCTGTACAATCCATTTCTTGGAGTACATCATGGGACACAGAGGTTCCTCCCCTCTTTCGGGAGTTTCATTGCTTACAAAAACTGAAGAACTTCCTGTGTAAGAGGGTTATATAGGGGAGGACTTCCTCTCTGATTGGTCGGCCAGTGTCTATTCACCTATAGATGGCATATAACCCACATAGTCATGAATAGCTTTCTCCGTGTCCCGTGATGTACTCCAAAAGAAATGGATTTTACAGGTAAGTATGTAGAAAGAATCCAATTTTTCCTTGCATTAGCTGACAAAGGGAAGCAGGATCACATGATTAGAGCAGCCTGAAAATAGGTAAATGTATACATTTTTCTTTCACAGGTTAGTAAGCATGGATGTTAGGGTTCTCCCAGAATTCCACTTTAAACAAATACATATTCTTTCTAAACTGCATGTAAGTACCTGAAACGGTATTGAAATCAGCCTGTTATGCCCTTTACAGTAGAACCTAGGCTGGAAGAGGGACACATAGCTTTCTGAGCTAGTTAGACCCTGCTGTATGCACATAATCACACTGCTGGCAAGGATAATGGAGGAGGAGAGAAATTACCCAATTAGTTTGTTGGTGCGCTTTCACTATCCAATCGCAGACTGGGGGCAGGTAGGTGCCCAGCTCTGTTGCTTAACTACTGTAGAGAAGTCAGGTCATTGTCTGTGCTATCTGGCAAGCAGGTAAAGATCTCAGGACTCCTGTGTCATTAAAGGTCACCTTTCCTAACATGTTACGTTACACCCATATTCAAGGTGTAACACGTAACATGGTATGAAAGGACCGCCCCCCCCCTCTCCCTTTGCTTTGACAGCTAGCACGGGATCTTCATGCGGTGAGCGCTGTGGGTAGTTCATTGAGTCTTCCTGTTATAATTTTTCGGCTTGCTCATTCGGGATGTATGGGCAAGCAGATATACTGACAGGTCTGCAGGAGACCTGCATGGCACCAGCAATCTGGTAGTTGGTGCAGTGCTTTATAGGCTTTTGCAGCAAAAAATAATAAATGCACCTTTTTTTTCCTTCAAAAAAATGTGCATTTATTATTTTTGCTCAAAAGGTGAACTTATCCTTTAATCACTTGCCCTCCAAAGGATTTACCCCCCTTCCTGACCTGGCCATTTCTTGCGACACGGTGCTGCGTTACTTTAACTGACAATTGCGCTGTTATTCATGAAGCTCAGCCTGAATGCAGCCTCTGCTGCTTCAGTGTAGCCCAAGTGTAGCTCCTGTAGACCAAAAGCAAACTACTCTGGAGACCCAACTCCTTTAAGTGCACTGACCCTCTGCAGCGCGGTGTATCAGAAAAACAGTTGTACAAGCTCCCCAGGATTATTCATTCTAATGCAGTGTATTATCGTGTCCTGTCTGGTCATGCAACTCCCACATCGGTAATACTTACACATTCTCATCCAGCCAACTGTCAGTCCACGTGTGACTACAAATCATAAGCCAAAATGGACACCCCTCTACTTCCTGTCTTCACTGGACAAGAGTAGGCTATAGAGAGGGACCCCACGGCCTATGGTGGCTGGAGGAGGAACGGTAGCCCATAACTCCTTCAGAGAGCATGGCCCACCAGACTAACAGAACACTGGCCCCAGTGGCCACCAGGAGATCGACCAGTCAGATTTTAAACAAAACACTGCAATGTATACTTACCATTCCCGCTGCAGGACTGAATCATAACAGGAGTCTAGTCTTCACCCATTGTGATGGGCTTTGTCACAAAAAGACCTTCAAGGACTCGGCCCTTTTACCCTTCCTTGGGGCTTCTGCCTTGGACCTGTATAGCACCCTGGAGTAGCTTGAGCATTGCACATTTATGCTGTGCAGGTGAACTGAGAAGGCTAATATTAATACCACAAGGTTTTCAAACTTGTCAGGCCTAGAAATAATTTTCATAGAAGAAATAAAGACACAATCTGATCTGTTTGCTTTTTTGGGTTTGGTGCAGACACTGAAAGTCTTTACCTCTCTTGTGTGAACTTCCAGTGTGTTGCTATACCATTAAGATTAAAAAGGGCTGCCGTCAGGTGAGTCTGCTCTGTTTGTTCCTTGTTATATATGTCCCACAGTTGGGGACTCAGATAATTTGCAGTTAAGCTGGCCATGCACTTGTACATTTCTGAAACAAACATATGAACATTCTGAGCACTGCATTTAATGACTTGTGTCAAGATTTTTCTTGCTTTTAACATTTGGTTTCAGGTCACATGGACTTGCCCAAATGAAAAACCACATTTCCACAAATTTTTCCAGCTCCTTTGAATTTTCTTGCCGCTGTAGTTGAAAACAACCATCATGCTGACTCCAGTATTGATTAGAAAATCAACTGAATTTACTGAAAATGAAAATTATTAAATGAAATTCTATTAATATATGGCCAGCTTTATGGACCTTACTTTTCAGGGTTGCCTTGATGAGCCAGTATGGCTTCCGCATGTATTTCCAAATGTTAGCAGAGTAGTGGAAACACTTTAGTTAGCTTTAATTTCCTGGCTATCTGGAAAATGTGTTTAGGACCTTTTTAGAAATACCGTAAATAACGAAGATAAATAGAAAACCATAAAAATCTATAATGATTTTATTGTGTTGAATATTTGGGTTTTTTTTTTTTTTTTTTCGTTTTTTTTTTACACTTGGTGTAAAGCTGTCCATACATGGTTTGAAATACCAATGGTACAGCTGGTACCAGCTGAATTTAGAGCCATGTATGGGGACATTGTTTGTGTTTTTATACCTGCCAACTCAATAGGAAGACCAGTATATGCTGATGGATGAGGTGGGCAAAGCACAGGTGCACTTTAAAGCTGAACTAAAGTCCGCAAGTACTTACATCCACTCCAACAATGCAATATCTGCAAGGTTCTCTGCCGGGTCTTCCGCAATTTTGTTTGATTAGCTAGAAAATTATGTAACTACCATTCATGTGCATGGGAGTTTATTCATTCCAGTGCCAAGAATATACACTGAGCCATGCATGTGTACATTCTTAAAAAGATTGTAAAGAGGCAGGCCTATGTGTTATTCATCAAGATCTTGCCTGCATCTTTTTTTTGTTTGCACTTTAGTTTCACTTTAAGGAACCCTAACAATGATATTTTCTTGGCTCCCTTTTGGAGTAGTAAATATACCATTGAAAGTGTTATGTTTCATCTGTTCAATAAGTGCCATAAATACCAGTTGATCCTGCCAGATCAGCTGTTAACTTCTTGCCTTTGCTGACTCTTATAAGTTACTATTGTTCCTAGCTATCACTCTGAACCACAGAACACTTTTGTCCATGTTATGAGGAGGTAGAGGTGTTCTGTGGTACTGTCCTAGGGTGATAATGCTGGTAGTCAATAAATACAGTACAGTGAGCGAAAGTTCAGCCTAGGACAAGAAATGTGTTACTGGCAGGATCATGAGGTAAAAACAAAAGGAAAAAGCTTGAAACAAAGAAAACTAATGCAACCATCACATCTGTGGTAAGCTGCAATATATAAAAAATTTTGTGTTTTTGGTTTAAACATTTTAAATTTAAAATTGTAATTCATCATCATACCGTTATTACGTCATTTGACTCCAGTTTTCACTACTTCATTAATATTAACAGATTCCGGTTGCGCCAACTGTTCCTGCTGTCCCTGCTGTAAGTTTGGTACCGCCTTCATTTCCTGTCTCCATGACGGTTCCCCCTCCGGGCTTCACAATTCCTCCGCCTCCATTCATGCGTGCAGGTTTCAACCCTTCACAGCCACCACCAGGTATGCATTTGGTAGTCTAAAACATTGTTCACTTCACATTATTACAGTTGCTCTTTCCTGATTTGTTCTTTATAAAGCCCAACTCCAGCCAAAATATTTTTCTTTTTAGTTTTGAATAGATAGGAGAAAAGTAAAATGGTTAGTATAAGCCACCCTATTAGGAAGATTTTACCTCATTTGCTGTCCCTTTTGGCATTGGTGCAGGAAACGAGGGATGCTATTGTGAGCATGGACAGCAATGAATACATTGTCTAAAACCCTATCCCTTTCTTGCTCTGCTAGAAATGTGTTTTCATTTATCTGTGTTCCTCCTTGGGAACATTTTCCATCACTTCCTTTCCTGGCTGGAATTAAGTGGAAATGTCTCCTAGGAGGACACAAATATATGTGGCCCTGACGGTGGTTCTAATACTTCCCCACTCTATCCAAATCAAAACTAAACCTTTTATGTCAAATTTGACTTTAAGTACATTGTACTTTTAAGATACTCCCTGGGATTCATAAATAGTGTTGTGGGTACTCTTTAGAAAGCTGTCATAGTGGTTCAACAAATGGCAGAACTTCATGTACAGGTACATGTCAGTAAGGTGTATATGAATCTTGCAGCTCTGATAGAACTGTCACTAGCATCTCTCCTACTAAGTGGCAGAGTTTTACAGGCAGAGGAGATATTTGGAAACATTTAGAGGGAATTGGAAAGGTATCAAATACCCATTCCAGAGGAACTTAACACATTTTGTTGCAGAATTGTCTCAAAGATGCAATATGATATATATACACAAGCAACACAATCAACAATTTATTCCAACAGAGAACAGGTCTTGTTTACCTCCACTTTCCTTATCTTTGATATGGCAGTATCAATTTGTTGCAACAATAGCGACATACAGTAAAACGTTTGCATACAAGAACTGCTTGATTTGTTGCCTGTCAGTACTACATTGTACTAACAGTGAAAATGACACTGGATTTTTATGACTTTGGCGCAAGGCTTCCAGCTACATACACACTGCCAGAAATGTGTTCCAAGTGCCTGTTTGAATTACCCCTACTGTGTTTAGGAGCAGGGGCTGTACCTAGCAGTATAACTGGAACATAGGTTATAGGCATTACTGAAAATCATATGGGCAATAGAAATAAAACAATGGTGTGTAAATTGTCATAAACCTTATGTTCTCCCACTTTGAAATATTTATGTAATTTTAAACATATACAAAAAATTCAGTATTACAACATGGACATTAACCTTATTTTTTGTTCTACAAATATAGATGTGCAAAAACTAAGAAATAATACAGGAAATAAGTATTTAGTCCTATTCTTCCATTACTTTTTACAGGTTTCATTCCACCGCCAGTGCCACCACCTGCTATTCCTCCTCCAATTAGCTCAGCTATTCCAACAGGTGAGTGAAACAATGCATAAGCAATTTTTATTGAAATTGTGAAGATTTCTTAACCCATCACTAGGAATGCACCGACATTTCGGTGGCCAAAAACACCCCTTTCGGCAGATATGAAAAAAAGCACCGATACAGGTGCCGCCAAATAAACCCCGCCCCTGCTGCCACCGACCGCCTCTTGGTAGTTCTCAGCCTTACCTGAGAAACCATCAAATGAACCCGGTGCTGGGCATAGAGATTATTGAAGGTAAGATGGCCTCCACTCATCTCTATGCCCTTGGAGGTCCGGAGCGATGTCACTTCCGGTTCCGGCCAATTTTTTTTTTTTAAAGCACTAGATCAATGCTTATTTTTGATCCAGTGCTTTACATTGCAGAGGAGAGATGTGGGGTCTTATTGACCCCATATCTCTCCATAAAGAGGACCTGTCATTAATTATTTCTATCACAAGGGATGCATGCATTTCTTGTGATAAGAATAAAAGTGATTAAAAATATTTTTAAAGGGACAGTGCAAAAAAAAAAAAAATTAAAAAAAAAAGTTTAAAGTGCCCCCGTGCTTGCACGTAGTGGTGAACGCAAACGTAGGCCATGCCTACATATGTAAATGGTACTAAAAAACACACTCATGAGGTATCGCCACGAACGTCAGAGCAAGAGCAATAATTCTCGCACTAGACCTCCTCTGTAAACTTACACTGCTGACCTGTAGAAATTTTTAAAGCATCACCCATGGAGATTTTCAAGTACCACAGTTTTACCATTCCACGAGCATGCGCAATTTTAAAGCATGACATGTTGAATATCTATTTACTCGCCGTAACATCCTCTTTCATATTTTATAACAAAATTGGGGTATATATTGGGGTTTTTTTTTTTTTTTTTTTTAAACAAAGTGTATTTTTTCCCAAAAAATATATATTTATTTTTAAAAACTGCGCGTTTCAGTTTTCGGCCAAGTGCATTTTGAATTTTCGGTTTCAACACCAGAATTTTCATTTCGGTGCACCACTATGGTCGGGAGCTGGCAGTGACAGTTCAGTCAGTGGGCTGGGAGTGTGAAGTGAGAGCGCATTTAGCACGCATCCTTTTACTGACGTGGAAGCTAATGTGTAGCAGCTGGGTATTAAAGCCATTTTTCTTTTTGCAACATATATGCCTTACGCGGTTGGCAAGAGGTTAAATTATTACCAAGGTCTAATATACTCCAAACAGACAATTCAATCTTGGGTAGATGCTAATGAGCAATAACCAGCAGTCTTCTTTTGTTGACTCCAGCAGCATGATCCTCTGACTGTAAATCAAAGGAAGGGGTTCCACCCAACCTGCTAGTTTATATATTATGCATTATTTTACAAATTTCATGGCAAGTAACATAGTAGAGGATGGACACTGGTGCCCAACCTGTGGCCCGGGGGCTGCATTGGCCTTTTGGAATTTTTTATGCGACCCTCGTGAGGCATGTTCCCAGTCTCCAGCAACTCCCTATAGCATGTTCACAGTTTCTGACAGTCTCTTATATCATGTCTGATTCTCTGAACATCCCTTGTATTATGTCCGCAATCTCTGTATCATGCCCATAGTCTTTAAATATATCCTGTTGTTTTTCTGCTGCCGCTGATAATGCATATTCACTGAAATTTGGGTCTTTAGTGATGTTGTGGGCCACATTTTAAGCCCCCCATATCAAGAAAGTTATCACCACTGCTCTAGTGTTTATGAATGGTGTGAAACAAGATGTGTTTACATATTTACTGGCATCTTTGTGCAAAATGTCCATATTCAGCATTATACATAAAGTAACATAAGGGAATAGCATTAACATTTTAATTTCTTTAGGAAGCAAGCCTTATTTCTTTTCTTCAGATTTCTCAATTAAGTGTAGTTTTGTTCTACAACAAATTATAAACATGTAAAATGCACACTTATGGCTGTTCTGCATTAAATCCAGCCAAGGTAGGGGACATCGTAATTTTGCATGCAACATAGATAATATTTTCAGTCTAATCCAAAAGAACTGCAAACCAATTACATTTTGGAATTTTTTTCTAATAAAGTTCAGAAAATAGTTTATTAAGATTTCTGGCCTTAACAGTTTTGTGTAGTTTGTATTTGTTTAGCTGTTTGGTTTTCATATATATATATATATATATATATATATATATATATATATATATATATATATATACACACACCAGTCATATCGTTATGACCACCCACCATAACCTATCGAGGCATGGACTTCATTAGACCTCTGCGATTATGTAGTGCTATTTGGCACCAAGCCATCAGTAGCAGATCCTTAAAGTCCTATAAGTTGAGAGGTGAGGCCTCTATGGATTGGACTTGTTTTTCCATTACATCCCCCAAATGCTCGATTTTATTGATATCTGGGGAATTTGTAGGTCAAGTCAACACCTCATTCCCATTGTTGTGTTCCTCAAACCAAGCAATGCACTTGTGTTCTGACCCCATCCATTGGAGCCAACATTAACTTTTTCAGCAATTTGAGCTATAGTAGCTCTTCTGTTGGATTGGACTACATGGGCCAGCCTTCACTTCTCATGTGTATTGATGAGCCCTGCCTACCGGTTTTCCTTTCTTGGACCACTGCAGACCAAGAACATCCCAAAAGAGGTGCAGCTTTGGAGATGCTGTGACCCAGTTGTCTAGCCATTACAATTTAGCCTTTGTCAAAGTATAGCTGAAATCCTTATTTTTGACCATTTTTTTCTGCCTTCAACAAATCAGCTTCAGGGACAGCATGTTTCGTGCTGCTGAATATACCCCAACCACTTGCAGGTGCCATTGTAATAAGACAATCAATGTTAATGTAAATATACAGTGGATAAAATAAGTATTGAACACGTCACCTTTTTTCTCAGTAAATATATTTCTAAAGTGATATTGACATGAAATTTTCACCACATGTCGGTAACAACCCATGCAATCCATACATACAAAGAAACCAAAACAAATAGCTTGAGAAATGTTAAGTTATGTGTAATAAAATGGAATGACACAGGGAAAATGTATTGAACACATGATGAAAGGGAGGTGCAAAAAGGCATAGAAAGCCTAAACAGCAGCTGAAATCTATCCGTAATTAGACAAAATCCTGCTCCTTATCAGTGCAAATTAATATCAGCTGGTTCAGTCTCAGCTGATGGCCTATAGAAAAGTGTCACACAAGAAACATCTCATGATGGGTAAAAGCAAAGAGCTCTCCCAAGACCTTCACAACCTTACTGTTGCAAAACATACTGATGGCATTGGCTACAAAAACATTTCTAAACTGCTGAATGGTCCAGTGAGCACTGTTGGGGCCATAATCTGAAAGTGTAAAGAACATCATTTCACCATAAACCAGCCACGACCAGGTGCTCCTTGCAGGATTTCTGACAGAGGAGTGAAAATAAATATCAGAAGAGTTGTCCAAGAGCCAAGGAGCACATGTGGAGAGCTTCAGAAAGTAATGCACTCAACCGCCATGGCCTGTATGCACGCTCACCATGCAAGATTTCCATTGCTGAAGAAAAAGCATGTGGAAGCTCATTTAAAGTTTGCTGCACAACATTTAGACAAGCCTGTGAAATACTGGGAGACTATAGTCTGGTCAGCTGAGACCAAAATTGAACTGTTTGGATGCCATAATTAATACACACCATGCTTGGAGGTCAAATAGCACACCACACCAAAAACACCCATACCAACAGTGAAGTTTGGAGGTGGGAACATCATGGTGTGGGGCTCTTTTTCAGCATACGTTTCTGGCAAACTTCATATCATTGAAAGAAGGATGAATGGAAAAATGTACCAAGACATTATTGATAAAAATCTGCTGCCATCTACCAGGATGATGAAGATGAAACGAGGGTGGACATTTCAGCAAGACAATTATCCCAAACACAAAGCCAAGGAAACTCTCAATTGGTTTAGAAGAAAGAGAAAATAAAGCTGCTAGAATGGTCCAGCCAATCACCTGACTTGAATCCAATAAAAAAAAATTATGGAAAGAGAAAGAACTAAAGATCAGAGTTCATAGAAGAGGCCTATGGATCCTTCAAGATTTGAAGACTGTTTGTGTGGAAGAATGAACCAAAATCATACCTGAGCAATGTATGTGACTAGTTTCTCCATACAGGAGGCATTTTGAAGCTGTCACTACCAACAAAGGATTTAGTACGAAGTATTAACAAATTCCAGTTAGCGTGTTCAATACTTTTTCCCTGGGTCATTCCATTTTATTACACATAACTTAATTTCTGAGCTTAATTGTTTTGGTTTCTACGTATTTGTTCATATGAATTGCATAGGTTGTTAAAGACTTGGTGAAAATGTCATGTCAGTAGCACCTTTGGAAATATATTTACCGAGACAAATGGTGACTTATTCAATATTTATTATACCCGTTGGCACTATTTACATTAGTCTGGTGGTGAGGGAACACATAAAAGTGCAAATGACAGTTCAGTTAATCTTTTTTGTGTATTATAAACACTTGGTGGATAACTGCAGAAAGTATCTTTGCTTAATTACAGGATAATCAATGTTATTCACTTTACCGTACAGTGGTCATAATGTTATGGCTGATCTGTGTGTCTCTCTTTTTTTTTTTTTTTTTTTTTTAATTCTCTCAAAGAAAGTGAACCGTTTTCCGATATGTTTTAGTTATGTACTAGTGTAGGTGTTAATACTGCTTAGCAGTGTTAGTTGTGAGTTTGTATGATCTCCTTAGGTGCTTAGTTTCAAAACGTTTGTGGATACTTTTGTAATTGTTGAACTTTTGTTTTGTTTACAGCACTAGTTCCCCGACTGCCTATTTCTGCAGATACAATGAAAGAGGTTTCATACAGCAGCCTGATGTTGCCTGTTGGGTCTGTTGTAACCTCGTCAGCTTCGACCACATCTTTGTTTAACCCAGCTTCAAGTGCACTAGCAGATCAAGAAAACAAAAGACAACCTGGTGTAGAAAACCTCACAGAAAGATCAGCTTCAATTGGTAGGCATAA